TACTGTAAGCCGGCGAATTTGTAAGGGGGCGAGATTGCAAAGGGCGAGTTTGATAGGGGGAGAGTTTGTAAGGGGCGAGTTTAATAGGGGGAAAGATTGAAAGGGGAGAGTTTGATAGGGGGCGAGTTGACTGGTATCCGTCCTAGCCTACAGAGATACAGTACTCTAGCTAGGCCTATTAGTAGTAGTAGTAGGCCTAGTACTAAGTAGAATAGAGGCCTAGCTAGGCTAGGCTAGATTAGCATACGAGGCCTGAGTAGATACGATAGGATATTGGTCAGTTTAATACGCAAACAAATAACACAATAGGTTAAATTCTCTTACTATATTTTAAACTTACATTCTCTGAAATCTTAATTAAAAAAATTAAAAAAAAATTCGATCTCCCACATAATAAACACGGAGCGCGATGATTTACTATTAATACGCCACCTTACGTCTGCAAAAAATACTAGCCTCCCTGCAGCAGTTAACCACACAATTTGCGGCTGCATTCAATCTATCAGCACCATTTTATAATTGATTAATATTGTGTGAATCTAATCTATGAAATCCATGAAATCAAAGTTTACATTTTACTACTGCCTTTTTGAGTACGAATGCCGAATGACTTATAAGACAGAAATATAACTATTTTGTTTGGACTTATACAGTTTTCGTCACGTTTGTGTTAATTTAATTCAATAATGAGAGATAGGCCTAATACTTCGAGTACCGTATCTCTATCCGTTGTGAAGAAAGTAAGTGTCGTTTTCCCATAGCAACAAAACTTTGGCGGAGCGACGAAGTACGAACATCTATTATCGACTGAAAAAAAATGATGTGCAAACAAATATACTGTTCTACATTTTACTAGGCAAGTGCATCATATTATGGTGACAATCATGGATTTAGTTTGAGTAACCATTTTGAATGAATGTAAAATACATAGCCTATTGTCATGATTTAGCTAAGTTAGGCCTAGGCTAGAGGGGGGCATTCCATTAGGCTGGTGTAGGCCTAGGCCGTAGCCTAGGGCCTATCTATACTTAGTTAGCCTACGTACTACTTACTACTAGGCCTAGCTAGGGGGCCTAGGCCTCTACTCCTAGAGCTGGTGGTAGTGACACTGATGATGCTGCGACCGTTAGTGGAGTGTGAATGTGATGTGATAATTAGCCGATGTGGTGATATAGATAATAGGGCCTAACTAATAGAACTCTTGGCCAGGCCTCCCTAAGGCTAAGCTAGGAAGCTCAGCAGACATTATCTGAATATATACTGACAGAGGACCCCACTGGGGTATGCATTATCGTCAGCTGACTCGATTCCAGGGAAAACAATGTGATGAAGCATGAGTGGCCTACCTAGGCCTAAATCATTTTTAAATCTGAAAAAAAATTAAAAAGCTTCCCTGCGATCGCCAATTGTTTCTGAGCGGTCATGGTGGCGACTCTAGAAATTACTTTGACCACAATTTTACAACAATTTTCAAGTTCTTTTTACTTTCATGCAGAAGGTGATAAAAAATGAGTTCGAGGAATTCGCTACGAAGTCGTGATGGTGGACTTCCATTTACAGCCAACCGAACTCAGATTCTACCTGAGAAAACAAACGATGTTCCACATTACCCAGAAATCAAACAGAGAGGGTTCTATTCTGATATACTTGAACATGAAGCTGAAAACAAACTTGGGGTAGGCCTGAATTGTTAATGCATTATTAAAATCTATGATGATAACTGTAATTTTATATATAATTTAATAATGTTGTATTATATAGCGCATTATAAGTCAATCGTGATGTCATCACTGCAACTCCTAATGTTATTTGCCTATCTCCCACATTCCAATAATTTTTCAATTAGTGGACGCTTGGCTTGATTTCTTTAGGTTCGTGTACAAAAAAATATTCCACATTTCTTTGTCACTGCGAAGAAATCACACACCGCGATGAAAATTGAATTGTGATTGAAAATTACTTGCGTAAAACAAGCTTAATTAGAACCCAAACAAAGTTACTTCAAATTCAATATTAAGTATGAACAATTAGGGAATTCATTAAATCAATGGACCCTCATAAACAAAACATACTCAATGTTGAATAGGAATATTCTAGACCTATTCTAAAGACTCAAGGAACAAATTTAGATGTAGCCCACGGCAAGGCAGGAGGCCTCCGAGGCTTCTACTACTAGGCTGTAGCCTAGTTGTGAAATCATCGCACGATTTTTACTACCTGTATGCATGCACCGACGAAAAATGTCAATGACTGTATTCTCTCTTGAGTAAGTGGACTTAGGTGCCATGCTGAAATGTTTCTTTGATGAATGTCTATAAAAATAGCATTACAAACAAGTTCTTTCTATTAACACAATACAAATTACAATAGTTATTCATCCTGTACTGCTGATGTGTCGTTAACGTGTACTGCAGGAGCACAAATCAGCATACGCACAGCTAAATGTAAATATACACACAGTATACTGATCATATCACTATAGCAACCGATGACTGCTAATAACAGTTGGTTATCAAAAACTAAAATCAAGAGATGGCTATTGACTTATAAAGCCATTAGTAGAGCATGCAGTTAGTAGAGCTGCACATAGTACACTAACGGAAAATTATTATACTTAGGTTAGATTTAATGCATTCAAAAATTTCCTTCGGGCCTTGCAAGCCCTTTAGGAAATTTTTTCAAGCATTAAATCTAACCTTCGTACAATAATTTTCCTATAGTGTACTATGCGGAGCTCTACTAATTGCTTATTATACAATTGATAGATCATCTCACTGCGCTTAAATAGTAATAAGTAAAATAAAATAATGAAAATAACACTTGAATACAATTGAACAAGAGGCTTAATTAATAAATTAATAATTATTAATAATTAGGTTCTTTGAATTTTTTCACTGGTATATATACCTGTTATAGAATCTCTATGACTATGCCCTAGCCATAATATTTACAGTCTCAAATTTATAATGTAATTTATCTCAATGTATTTGTTTAGAACATTTATGCTGGGCCTCCTACACACCAAGATACATTATGGAATATATCAAAAGAAAAGCACACTCCTCTAGTTACCACTTTCAATGGTTCATCAGATTTCAACGATGCCATTGCAAAACAAGTGTATGGACCTACAAGTAAAATTACCACTGAATCAGTAAGTAAAATCTTACCTTTGTACTTTTATTATTTTTACTTGTTTATTGGAAACATAAAAAGAGATAATACATTTTTAATAATTTCCTTACATCCAACATAATATCATTTTGTGTATTTTTTGGATAGGATTTTTCGGAACAGTCATTTCTACCAAAAGTTCAACTACCATATTTTGTACCACCTGGACACTGCCCTCGTAAGATTGAGATTGAGCGACGTAAACGCCTGTACCAGAGCCAAGACCTGGAGGATCTTCTAGAGAATCTGAACATTGAAACAGATCTCCTGATGCCAAAACAACTTGAAGAGAACTTTACAGTGAAGTTGAATGAAATGAGTGGAGAGGATCCTGCTCCCTTCCCAGCATTCCTTCCATTGCATATTTTCACGGACATGGAGTTTGATTGCAGGACGCCAAAGGAATGGTTGCAGATGGGTGTTGTGAATGGTGACAGACTACCAATACCTGGGAAGGCATTATTACCAGCATGGGACTCAACTGAAAAATGTAAGTTGAACATTCTAAAAATTTATATATCAGGTTTCATTTGCTTATGTTTATAATAGGAAATTCTAATATATACTGTAAATATTCATAATAGTGTTAACACGTTGACTGCCAGATCTTTGTTTAAGGTTTCCTCCTGTGTGCCAAAAAAAGGTTACGTGTACAAACATACTTTTAAAAAATTTTATCTAGTCATATATCATTAAAATGATGTGGCTAAGAAAATGGCGGGAAAATATTAGGGGACGAGTAAGCTCATCGACAGCACTATGATAGAACTTTTTATTGATTAAGCCAAGTGTGAGTTATGGTATATGGTATGTGTTCAAAGAGAGCCTCCACTTGTGCCATTCGAGTGTGCTACTGGCAACATAACACAACAAACATATATACATCATTTGTGCATTATCATCTAGGTGTATCTTCCCTGAACTACCAGACATTGATTCTGTGGTTCTACAATGTATAACAAAGAGGTAATAAACGTTAGAATGTTACCCCGATTTTGACAAGTACTATATACTCGTCCCTGACAGCCAACATGCTAATTAATATAATAAGGACAATTTTAAGTCATTCAAATTAAAAAATCAAATTCAATAATTTTTTTTATTATACTTCAGTGGATCCCAAGGACCCAAGTTTAGAGTATGAGTGGTTTGATGTCGGCGTGTTAGACTATGACCCAGAGGAGAGCCTATGGTTGGTCCAGAAAACTGACATTAATGGCCGAATTCTTAACCAGAACAACCAGGTGGTGATTAATGGTGGTGTGCAGGATGGGACAAGACAACCGCTTATAGCTGCGCAGTACTGGGTACCACGCATTCAAGTCATGTTTATTGCAGAAGATCCTGCAGTGTTTGCGCAAACTGTTGCCAAAGCCTTCCATGATAGACGCCACACCGAGGCTTTGCTCAGGTACCATCTCTACGTGGACTTCATGCCAATGGAAGGTGTCGGAGAGTTGGACTCTGAGAGTCTAAAGCGTGTTGTGGGCTGGGCTAAGGGTGCACCTGCACTCACTAAAGATAAGAAGTAAGTTTACAAAAGAATGTACAGTAGCTTATAACTAGACTTTTAAGTATGGCTAGCAGGGCTTGCCCTAACTTTTTTTGGTAACTAGCCCACTGGGCTAGTTTACTAGAGATTTTACTAGCCCACAGAATATTTTACTAGCCCACAGACAGGACATTTATTAGCGACAATTAAATTTGAAGGTTGATTTGCAGCAATTTAATAATTTCTGTAGCATTGCTGTTTGAGCTACCCTCTCAAAATATTGTTGAATAAATAAATAAAAAAATCAATTTATGGCCCATGTGCATGTTAAAGAACACAGTACCTGTCTCTTATACACATCTAGATGTGTATAAGAGACAGGTGTACTCTCTGGGCTGCGGTACCTCCTGTGCAGAGATTGTCTCGAAAGTTCCGATTAAAAAATTTTTTTTTTTTTTTTATAGAAAATGTTTTTCTTGCTAATTTTTCTCCACTAGACAACCGGGCAACATGAGGAGTAAATAGGCTAGCCCGGAGCGGTTTTTACTAGACATTGTACGCCGGGCTAGTACTAAATCGAGCCCTGGTTAGAGAGTGGGCTGGTTAATGGTATATAAGTCAGACTCACAGTACATGCAGCTCATTTTTTGTTTTATCAAAATATCATGGGTGTGTTTTGGTTTTGTTTTGTAGCCTTGATGATTACATTCATACACTAGAGAAGGAAGTGAACATTGACTATGCAAGGGCTATGAACAGAATCATCTTTGATAAGATAGTGCAGTCCAACCCTGGTACATTTGCTTATGTCACAGTCCCAGAGAAAGAAGCAGAAAGAATACCAGAAACAGGTGAAAAAAGATTTCCTTTTTGAATATTTTTATTGTTTTTCATCATTGGTGTTTTATTGGTATGTTTACTGCCACCAGTAATTACCAATCCCAGTGGTAGTTATGCATTTCATGTTTATGATAAATTTATATTTGTTTTTTAGGTTACTATGGTGATGTACCTGATTACCCTTTCGATGAACAGTATGATAGCTTTGCATTCAACTCTTTGTTGACAAGAGAAGAGGCAATCTTTGCAATGATGAAAGTGAGGACAGAATGTAATAAGGTCTCTGCTATGTCACTTTTCCACGTTCCCATGACAAAGCATCTGCGAATCGAGGAGTTTGAACAAACTCAGAGCTCACAGAGTTCACAGGTTGGATACCATTGGATTATGCTATTTAAATATTGATTAATTAAAATATTAGGTGTATGTATAGATGACAAATTCTTTAGAATTATGACTTATGATGGGTAATTTTGCTATGCTATTGTTATTCTCTCTGGTTATTGTTAAGAATATTTATTATTGAATGGAGATGTTTTTTTCTATAATTTTACCAATTCCTTTTGCAGGTACAACTTTTCCTGAAGGATAGTTGGATCTCCACACTCCGTGCTGCCATCCGGACCAGTCTACGTGATGTCGGCAAAGGCTGGTTTAATCTACATGAAACCAACTGGGAAGTTTACCAGAAATCTAAACTCAAGAAATTTATGGAAATGGTGAAGTTCTGTATGCAGGTAAGATGTTAATTAAAACTATCAAGCTCCTGTAATGTTATATAATAGTCTTTATAAGATGAAAGTGACAATAGTTGTTTATCCAGGTTAGTATCCAACTGATAGACTGCCATCATCATTTGATTAATGCTGCCAGTTGAGATCAAATAAAATTGAATTGACTTAAATTGAATTGATGTTTGAGTCTCTTTTCTCCGCATAGGATTCCATGCGGTATCTGGTGCAGGATTCTTTGGTCAATTTTACGCAGATGATAATTGATGCCTGTTATTCTGTGCTGGAGTGTCCAGACGGAATGGAATGGAATAACAAGTTGGTCGTCAGCAATTATAGGTAAGTCAATTATATTTTAACATCTATGGTAGGTGATGATAGTATATACCAACTAGATTTGATATATTTAAGGATTGTATAATGTAATGCATTAATATTTGATTACTGATTCTCTAGGCCTAAGCGGAATTGTCTGTTCCTTGTGGATCTTCAGGTGGACATCAATGGCTGCCACTACAGCACACCTTTGCACACCTTTGAACCCATGCTGGTGTCGTTATTTGACAGGGGCATTGGGGCGACACAGCATGTGCCTCAGCTGGAGAAGGTTAGATAATATTAAATTTTATGTTTTTAACCTTACTATATAAAAGTGGCCATTTTGATATGAGTCCGCAGCAGCAGTAGAAATATTCTTATTCTAAATTTAGCATATTGTATATGTGTATTATAAATGACAACCATTGTTTATTTCAAACTACTTTTATGTATGACCTTTTTATTAGTATTATATTATAATAATCATATTTGTACTTAATTATTGCCACTTCATTTTGTTACTCATTATCAGTTTTTACTCATACTCTTATTAATGATATCTTTGCCAACCTCTGTTTTTCTATTTAGTACGTCCTAGAGGATATCTTCTGGGCAGACACTCCACTGTTGGAATCCGTTGGAGAACATGAGCCAAGGGTAGAGGAGCTGAGACAGAATATCCGGAATGCTATCCGTAAGGCTCTTATTCCAATGTATGCTTATTCCAGGGCTTATGAACAACACTTGGAACTCATGAATCTGGATATTGATGAATATATTAAGTAAGTGTGTCACTTGCATTCTTAAATGATTGTTTGTTCTGCTTTTCCCCCCAATATCCATACAGTGATCTGTTATAGTATTATATTATGTTATGTATACGGTATTGTATTGTCATTTGTATTACTATTAAAATTTCTTGATATTATAAAGAAAATATATAAATAGGCATAGGTAATAGAAAGCTTTACACATACTGTAAGTGGTAAACTATAAATAATCTTAAACTAATATAACATTTAATTACGTTAAGAATTTCAAAGTATTATTACTAATAAATTATTACTAATATTAATAATGGAAATAATATTACATAATAGAAAGCTTTACACATAAGTTGTACAATATACATAATAAGAAACCAATATAACAATAATGAAGTTAGTAATGTTAATAGTGTTTTATTACTAATTCATTATTACTTATAATATTAATAATCAATTTTACTGTTCATTATTTCTATTTTTAAATTTGTGTGTATTTAACAACAGAGAATATGACTCAAAGGAGCATACTGCGGCAGAGGTGAAGAAAGAGATCGAGGATCATCTGGCCCAGAAAGAAGTTCTGGAGAACACAATCCCAAGCAACATCATCATCGGGCCATTCTACATCAATACAGAGAGTGTCCGTCAAGGTCTTTCCAAGAAGCGTAAAGCTTTAGCTAACGCTTTACTGGAACTCCTCGCAGAAAAGCTGAGAAAACAAGCCGAAGAAGTGAGTTTGGTATTTTGTAAAAAAAATTCCACGTTGGAAATTCTGTATTTGTCCAATATCTTCGTATATGGCAAGAATTTTTTTGTACCTTTGTATAGCAAACCCACCAGCTGCCAATAATGGTGGTTTCAAATAAATATAATATTTTATTTTTGGGCAATTAGCACTCCCACCGCCATGAAAAAATGGAAATAAAAAGGAAAAAATTTCAGAAAAAAAAATTATTTTTATTTTCTCCTCCGTCTGGATGTTTTCGGCAAAACCATTTGCTAAATAGGAAAACAAAATTTAGTTTTTATTTTTTTATTTCGCTCACTTCTGACCATCTTTAAAAATTTAAGTTCACATTAAAAAAAACAACAACAGCCACTTTGCCTAATATTGTTTTCAATGACCAGAGAGAGCAGCTTAGCTCAGTCGGGTAGTCTGGTGGTAGCCACTGTGTGTGCGCTGAACCGTGGAGATCTCTAGGTCCCCGGTTCAATTCCCATTGCTGCCTCTCCTTGTGTTTCAGCTAGAGGGCTGAAATACAAGTTACATAGCGCACCGTCTTTCGGATGAGACGTTTAAGCCGTTGGTCCCCTGTGCATTTATGGCCCATGTGCATGTTAAAGAACACAGTACACTCTTCGGAAAAGAGTAGGGGATTGTCTTCCGGTGTACTCTCCAATCACCACCAGAAGGACCCCACTGGAAATAAGTCTTCTTCTAGACTTTCGTGGGCTATCCTTGGTGTTTACACCGAAAAAATCCAATCCAATCCAGTCCAAATTATGTACTGGATTCCATTATTGCATCAATTAGATATTATCTTTTATATCTCCTTCATTTCCTGTACACATTGTACTGTACCCATAAAAAGTAGCTTCACACACTAAATTAATTTTATATTTTTATTTCCAAAGGCATGTGAAGAGTTCAAGTCTATTTCTCGTCGTCTTTACGACAAACAAAACTGCATCGAGGATTTGTCAGAGCAGAAGGAATGGATGGAGTCAATCCCGGACAGGCTGAAGGAGCACCAGGAAGTTATTGACAAAGCGATGACAGATTATGAACTGATTGAAGAGTTCTGCTATAACCTCTCAACAGATGACTTCAATCTCAAGTGAGCCTATCACATGAATAACAACTCAAAACATCATCCCTCATTCAACTTGTTCAATATTTTGTATTAACATCCTTGTCATTTTCTATTTTTTCTCCAGATGGAGTGCCATTGGCTGGCCTCACAAGATTGAAATCCAAATGGAGCAGACATTTCAACAGCTGGAAGAGGACAAGGAGCGCTTCCAGAAGATCCAAGTGATGGACCAGAACAATTTCCAGGACAGACTCGACGCATTACAGGTTAACCTTCCTCCCAAAACTTTGCTTTTTCCACAATTTCAGCAAACTAGTAAAAGTTCCCCGTGGGTCTTTTTTCTTCCTTTTTTTATAATTCATTTCTCATATTTCAATCAATCCTCCATTTCAGTACTTTACTATATTCCTCATTTTCTTCCTTTTCCCTTACTTCTTTCATTTTTTTCCCTTTATCTCTATTTTACTTTTCATTTCCTTCAATTTAATCATTTTTTTCAAGGATTTTTACTAGTTTGATGGATAAGTTGTGGTTAAATTTATCATATTGTAAAGTTTTGTGAGGAAAACTCCTGCATTTTAACAACCCTTGCATCGCTTCAGTCGTAATGCTAAAATCCATCTTGTATACTCCTTCTACTGTGTTCCAATAAACAAAGAATTGAGACCACAGCTTGACAGTTGTAAAAATCATATCAATGCTCTACTAATTTGCATTCAAGTCATGTTGGTAGACCCTTGAACTGCTATTTACATCATGCCAAGTCCTAGTCATTAAAATGTTTTATTGGAATGCAGTATAGTATCTCTCATGCTACCATGTTTCTGTCATATTGTCTTGCTTTGTATTGTTGAGGTTTATGTTGCCATGTTTGTATGTTTTGTTGTTTAATCTCGCTTATACTCTGCTATATCATTCAAATTTGCCTTAAGTAAAATGCAATCATAGTCATAATTATTTAATACAGCAGATACATTTGAATCAGGTGTTGGGAAAATTATAATCAAATCATGCAATCTAATATATTCATAGATAAAGTTTTAACATCGAAATTCATTTATTCATAGATTATAATTTAGTAGTAGTAATAGCGATTCATATAATTTTTATATAATATAATTATGTTATGGGAGTATTAATGGCATATTTACCCACAAATTTACTGCATGATCGTATAAAAGATAACTCAGATTAATATCATTAACTAGATATTATAAAAGATATATCCTTTCAGATTCTTTATCAGACTTCCATTCTTCATACTCACAGGGCCGGCGGAACGTTTTTCAAAGTGAGTTCCCACTAGCAAGGTAAATGGGAATATGAATCAGGGAGGCTTTTTACTGTAATAAGAATGAGAAAAATTTACCTGACCGTTTCCGAGAGGGAAAACCTTGAATTTTGAAGAACTTAAAATTGAAGTCATTAGAAATTTTCGCGGCGGGAACCCAAACCTTCCTTTCTCTTTGGGGTTCATTCATTCATGATATCGTTTTCAAGAGGGGTACAACCTTGAATTCTGAAGAACTTGAAAGTCATTAAAAGACAACTCAGAAGTCGGGAAAGCTCTTTTAATGACTTTTAAGTTCCTTAAAATTCAAGGTTTTTTCCCTCTTGAAAATGATTCTATGAATCAATGAACTCGATTCTATGAATCAATGAACCCAAAGAGAAAGGGAGTTCGGGTTCTCCCTGGGAAAATGTTGATTTCTAAATGGCAGGAAATGAGCATTCCCGACTTCTGAAGTGTCTTTTTTAATGACTTTTAAGTTCTTCAAAATTCAAGGTCCCCCTCCCCACCCCCTTTTTGGAAACGGTCAGGTAAATTTTTCTCATTCTTATTACAGTAAATAGGCCTATTATATGTGTTCTGGTACACATATGTTGCATATTCTTTTTTCCATGATTCAATGAACCATAAAAATAAAAGGGGGTGGGGGTCCTCCCCGAGAAAATTTTGATTCCTAGGTGGCGGGAAATTAGCTTTACTGACTTCTAATTTTTTTATCGTAAAAAAAAAAAAAAAAATTCAGCTCACGGGTCCTGAAAAGATAGGTCTAGAAGGAAGGTGGTCTGTACCCCTGACCTTCCCCCCAGATCCGCCAATGAGAATTGCGCGAAAATGTAACTTGGTCGGAGACTGGATAAATACTCTCTTTCCTCTCCTTCTCCTTCTTCTTCCCCCTTTCTTTGCTTGCATTTCCTTCCGATCATAAAAAATCTCCATAGGCATCATATATTTTCTGCCAAAAAGTAGGGGGAACGGGGCCCAACCGGCCCCCCCCCCCCCCGGTTCCGCCGGCCATGACTCAAATACATTTATTCATATATTAATCATAAATTATTTGTATAAATAGCAAATCATATAATTATATAAATATGAAATGGGAATATTAATATCTTATTTACCCACAAATTACTGCATGATGTAATAAAAGATAATATTTTCCGTTGCTAGTATTGACACTTGTGAAATATAATATTTCATAGGAATTATTTCAACTTTGTTAAAAAACTGATTCTGACTGAGATTTTGACACTTAAACAAACATATCTCAGCCTAACCAAACAACCGCATTGTGCGAGATGCGAAGTACAAAAAGTAATCTCATTAGAGAGGGCGCTCTTTATTGACTGTATAAAGTATACATAAAAGCGAGAGTATTCCAGTGGATGCGATCTACAACCTCTGAATTTAAAACTAAAATTCATGCCAATATTTTTCCATGATTTATAATAATTGGAGTAATGCAAATGCATATTTTCTTAAAAAAAAGTCATTTTTAGTGAAATTTTGCCGGGAATGGGGCTTTAATGGAAAAAAAAAACTAAAATCACCAGATTTTTTGTGTATATTTTTTCAGTACAGTATATAAAAGAAGTTATCTAGTGACATAAAGATTGTTTTGTTACCCTTTCAAATACCATCTGATCTCCCCAGGCCTTGGATAAAATGGAAGGTGAGTGGAAGCCTGTAGTATTTGAGATCATGGATTACAAGGACACCGGTACATACATCATGAAAGGCTCGGATGAATGTACCCAGCTGTTGGACGATCACATTGTTATGACCCAGAGTATGTCATTCTCACCGTACAAAAAACCATTTGAGGATAGAATCAACACTTGGGAGTCCAAATTGAGGATGACTCAAGTAAGTCCCCACATATGTAGTTCAATTTCTTTCTTCTTTTTTTTTTAATGAAACATTATTTCATAATTACAAAATTGAGAATTATATAACTAGAATATTAGTTTTATTATTATCGCTGTTATTGTCATGATAGTTGTTCCACTGGTGTTTTCGTCATCTGTAAACATTGTTATTCTATTCCAAAATGTTAATCCTGCTAAAGTTTGTACACTTAATGTTGCATATCTCTTCGCATTAACGTAAGAATTATTTTTATTAATAGGATGTTCTGGATGAGTGGCTACTGTGTCAAAGGTCATGGCTTTACTTGGAGCCCATCTTCAGTTCTGATGACATCAATCGTCAGTTGCCTGTTGAAGGAAAACGATATCAGACTATGGACAGAATGTGGAGAAGGATAATGAAAAATGCAAAAGAGAACCCACAGGTAAGGAGTAGTAATCAATCATAATATCATAGTTGAGCAGGGAGAGAGTTTAAGACATTGGGAGCAGAAAAAGAGAAATCAAATGGAAAAGTAATAATAACAAATGGTTACTATTCAACCTGTGTACATTTATTGGAAATAATTTCTTGGAAGAATATACTGGGTACATGTTAGAAAGTATTTTTTTCCCCTGAAGGTCATTTCTCTGTGTGCAGATGCAAGGCTTCTGGAGAACCTCAAAGAATGCAACAAGCTTCTAGATCAGGTTCAGAAGGGACTGAGCGAGTACCTGGAGACAAAGCGGGCTGCCTTCCCACGATTCTACTTCTTGTCCGATGATGAACTGTTGGAGATCCTCTCACAGACAAAAGATCCTACAGCAGTCCAGCCACATTTGAGGAAATGTTTTGAGAATATTGCTAGGGTAAGTGCATTGTCAGGTATGCCAAGAGTGATGCTATAGTTAAGGTGCTCAACATCTGAGGCATGTTGTGGCAAAATGGTTAAGTTGTCGCACAGTCCACAGTATTGAGTAAATGAGCTATAAAATATGGGAGCTCAAAAAATTGCCTAAAAATCCAAATTTGTTTTTCACTATGGATCAACAGTTTAATGTCTTATTAATCATGTTTTAAAGTATTAGTTCTGGAAGTGGTTAACAAATTGTTTATTAACGTTATTTTTCATAGTTCTTTCTATTAAACAATGTATGCACAAATAACTTTGAAAGGCAATTACAGTAGAACCCCTCATTTACGTACGGCACGGGCAGAGCTGTTCGTAAATGCGGGTATTCGTGAAATCGGGGTTTACCCAAATTCCTATATATTTGCACTGGTACTACTTACATGGGCATAAACTAGGCCTACAGGCCAACGCAGCTAAGTCTAAGGGGGCCTAGGCCCCACAGTAGGCAGCTTCTAAGCATTCTGATCCCACTCTAGGCCCGACAATTTTACCTTCTTAAATACCTAGATTGTGGATTTTACTCCAACACAACTTCCATAGATACTTGTTTATTATATATATTGATCATTCAATAAAACAATCAAGCACTATGTTGACTTTTAAAGCTGAAAATGGAGAAGTAAAATTTGTCGCATGCACATGTGTGAAGCCATAAAAAACACTGACTTTGAAGAGGCCCGTTAGAGGGCCTCCTTCACTTGAGAATTACATAGTACTGTATAGTATGGTGTGTTGTGCTGTATAACAGTTACAATTCGAGCAGACTTTTTTTTTTTTTATCTTTCACTTAAATTTTTATGACGTCATCTCCTTTATCTTACGTTCGTAAAATCGGGAATTCGTAAAATCGGGGTTCGTAAATGAGGGTTTCCACTGTACTCAAAATCATGTTTATCTTGACTCTAAGAGTACTGTACATTCACTTTTCAATAACTTAGGCTTGAAATGTCCAATTTGAATGAATGACCCCTCATTTTAAAGATCATATACTCAGGTATCTGAAAATACCAATAACTTGAATTTCAATTTTTGCTACAACTTAGCCATTTTGCCACAACATGCCTCATCTGTCTCTGTAAAATGTTCTGTTGACCAACTTCCTTTTCTTTTAAAGTTTCATGCTTTGATGGATCATATATACTATGCATGTGATTTTGATCTTAAAAACAGGTTACTCCAATTCTTGTCTGTAATTGTTTCAGACATGTATGATCAAACAATTAATGTCTTTTCCTATATTAAATGTGTTTTTATATGAAATAACATAGCATAGCTCTAATAGTCCCGAGCACACAACTTGTGGGATGCAGATTCTTACAGTTTACTTGAGTGTGCCATGCAGAATGAGGTCCTCTATGACTACCTTTTGCTGGATGGACTACACTCACCAAGAATGTTTGACAGATATAAGATATTTGTTACTTTCTATATATTAATTTTTAATAATGTTTATTTTTTTAATTTTTAAAAAAATTCTGAATACAAAATAACATTGAAGTTTAAATATTCTTTTGTAATTTTTACAGTTACGATTTGAAGATGATCTAAAGATAAGCCAGATGTTCTCAGGTGAGGGTGAAATGGTACCATTCTGTGAACCTCTCTATCCCAATGGAAACGTAGAGGACTGGTTGCTGGAGGTGGAACGGGTGATGAGAGACAGTCTGAAGCAAGTACTTGGTGAATCTATCAAAAAATATGCAGAAGTAAGAACAATTTACTCCTCATATTTAATATCCATTGATCCTTTCAAACAAACTCATTCAGCAGCAGGTATGGAATAGGGTTTTTCCAGTGTGGTTGATATGTTATTTTGGTAAATTTACAGGAGGAAAGGACAAAATGGGTGTTGGATTGGCCAGGTCAAATTGTCATCGCTACTTGTCAAGTGTACTGGACCAAGATGGTGGAAGATGCTATCAAGGCAAATTCACTTCCAGAACTACATGAGGTGCTCAAGCAGCAGGTAAGATAGATACCAACTTTTCCAATGAATGGTGCCCTCCATGTTAATTTTAAAAATTGTCTGAAACTAGTAACCAATTTCAGTATGATTTGTTTAGCCTAGTTTTGTGAATACCAATACAGCTATGCTAACTTCTCCTTTGCTGAAGTTACCTAAACAATAATGGAATTGTCTGATGGAGAAGGTTAAAACAAATAGTAGTTGAAATGAGTTGGGAATATCTATTATAGTGGATCTGGACAATTCCATTATTTTTTATGCAAGTTCTGTAAAGGGAAACTCAGCAGACATTGGTTCAACTATTGATGATGTTAAAATAAATATTTGTTTTTAAATTCCTTAGATCAATGATTTAGTCAACCTTGTCCGTGGTAAACTCTCCAAACTAGAACGTATGATGATGTCAGCATTGATTGTGATAGAAGTCCATGCTAGGGATGTGGTTGGCACCATGTGCCTGGAAGGAGTCAGCAATTTGAATGACTTTGAGTGGATCAGCCAGCTCAGGTAATTTTAAGTCAATTGAAATAATTACTGTTTTTTTTTTTTTTTAAATACTTATATGGAATGCAGTTTTATCTGCTCCGCTCCCTGTATACCTACAGTAGTATTGCTATACATTATATACCCAACCAATTCTGTAATATTAGATCCTTCCTAGCAGATGCCCATTTATACTCATGGGTGGAGAAACACAAGTGGAAGTGGTTTGGTGCAGAGGGAACAGTTTGGTTTCCCAACCATGAGGACGAATTTTCAATCCCTTGCTGTGCACTTGTGTCCTTGGGCAAGACACTTTATCTGCATTGCTTCTCTCCACCCAGGAGTGTTATAAATGGGTACGTGGTAGGGATAAATGCCAAAATGCACTGATTTAGCTGCTGCACAGTTATGGAATACTCTCCCAGGGAGCTTGAGTTTCTGTTCCATAGGCGTTTAATTCAATCCAAACCTTCAAACTGTTATCAGAACAGCTCAGTTCACAAGTAAATAAACAGAATGAAATTACTAAGTGCTTGAAATTATTATTATTATTATTACTAAATGCCTTACCCAAAAATACAAGCAAAGTGCACAGCGTGATGCTCAAGTCCCAGTAACTGAAGGTTTAGAGCCCAGATCGTAAGTGCTGCATCGATTGCCCTCCTCTCCATTTTGAGTTGCTAATGAAACAGTGCTATGCTAGTACACAAAATAAATGCTCCATTTTTTTTTTATACTAGATATTATTGGATTGAAAACAACTTGTATGTACGTGCTGTTAATGCGGAGTTTGAGTATGGCTATGAATACCTGGGAAACTCAGGCCGACTGGTCATTACCCCGTTAACTGATCGTTGTTACCTAACGCTTACCGGTGCCCTTCATCTCAAGTTTGGTGGCGCCCCAGCAGGCCCTGCTGGAACAGGAAAGACTGAAACCACTAAGGTATAATAGGTCAAAGTTTAATCAAATTTATTTCATAATTGTGTATTCTAATTGAAAAAGTTCAAATGGTAAATCATCATCGTCTAGTTCCAATCTACCAATTATATTTTTTATTAACATGACCTATTAAAATCGTCATTGATGTTACAAATCACTATTTGACCAATCACATTATTCATTGATTTGACCAATTACTATGTTTGTTATAGGATCTTGGCAAGGCTCTAGCCATCCAAACAGTGGTATTCAACTGCTCTGATCAGCTCGATTTCATGGCCATGGGTAAGTTCTTGAAAGGCCTTGCCAGCTCCGGTGCCTGGGCCTGCTTTGATGAGTTCAACCGTATCGACATTGAAGTGTTGTCTGTAGTAGCCCAGCAGATTACTACCATCCAAAAGGCTCAACAACAAAAGGTATGTTAATGTTGGGAAAGAAAAGTTTATAAACTTTATTTTGTTATATATTACATTTATTATATTTCATCTCTTGATATTTTTTTTTTTATTGATAGGTGGATCGTTTCATGTTTGAGGGTGTGGAGATCGCCCTCAAGAGCTCTTGTGCCGTCTTCATTACCATGAACCCTGGCTATGCTGGTCGTACAGAACTCCCAGATAACCTAAAGGTAAAACTATCAAAATTTGTTATCTATCTTACATGCCGAGCCTTTCTTTTACCTTGCCTGGTACAATTGAACCCCAATTGTGCAATGATTAAATTTAAATAATATTTATTTCTACCTATTTATTTATTGAAAAAAATAATTATTTGAAAGTGGGTAACTGTAACTGCATTGCTGGGGCCTCCTCCGTCAGATCAGTAATAAATGTACAGTAACTTATATTTGTGCGTGTTTTCTCTAGGCCTTGTTCCGTCCAGTTGCTATGATGGTCCCTGATTACGCCATGATTGCCGAGATTTCGCTATACTCGTATGGATTCAGTGACGCTAAAGTTCTGGCTAAGAAAATCACAACTACTTTCAAATTGTCATCAGAACAGCTCAGTTCACAAGTAAATAAATTGAATAAAATTATTAAAAGCTTGAAAATGATTACCTTTGTTGTATATTTTGAATCTATGATTTGATTAAACATGGAACTAAAATCAATATAAAAAACTTTGTTTTAGGATCATTATGATTTTGGTATGAGAGCTGTGAAGACTGTTATTTCTGCAGCTGGAAATCTGAAGAGAGAAAATCCAGAAATGAATGAGGTATTTTATAAGATTTATAAAAATAATCTCTACCTACAAAATGTTTAAGCCTATTGAAATTCTTGTGTACAGATATACAGGTTTGCACAAAGATTAGAATTGGTTTGTGTAATTTCAAAATGTACACAATTAACAATTAAAATTGATTTCATGTTTTCTTTAGGAATTGATAGTGTTGAGAGCTATCCGTGATGTTAATGTTCCCAAGTTCTTGCAAGATGATTTAAAGCTGTTCAACGGCATTGTTTCTGATCTTTTCCCAAAAATCAAGTAAGAATTTTTTTTTTTATAAAGAAATACGGAAGTGGTTAGAATCAACACAAAAGACTTGGATTCGATTGGTTTGGATTTATTCGGTGTAAACACCAAGGATAACCCACAAAAGTCTAGAAGAAGACTTATTTCCAGTGGGGTCCTTCTGGTGGTGATTGGGAGGTACACCGGGAGACAATCCCCTACTCTTTTCTGAAGATTGTACTGCGTTCTTTAACATGCACATGGGCCATAAATGCACACAGACCAATGGCTTAAATGTCTCATCCGATAGACGGTGCGCTATTGTAACATGTATTTTAGCCCTCCAGCTGAAACAAAAGCAGAGGCAACAATGGGAATTGAACCGGGGACCTAGAGATCTCCACGGTTCAGCGCACACACAGTGGCTACCACCAGATTAGCCGACTGAACTAAGCTGCTATAAGGCATTACTGTATACGGTTTTCCGATTAGCTATTAAACTTTAACTGGTTGGCTGAGAATATTCATGATATAGTATCCAGTTTGTTTTACTTGACTTACTTCAGTTGTGAAAATTCATTAATATTTATTTGTTTTATAAATTTTAACTTTTCTTAATTTAAGAGAGGAACCAATAGATTATGGTGCGCTGGATGCCGCGCTGAGGAGCACATGTTTCAAGATGGACTTGAAAGACGTTGATGGATTCATCACAAAATGTATCCAGCTATATGAAACAACGGTCGTTAGACATGGTCTCATGTTGGTCGGTCCGGCCGGGTCGGGCAAAACCAAGTGCTACGAGGTGTTGAAACGGTCTCTCACGTCCCTCAAAGGAGAGCCAGCTGTAGGGGGCGGTGTTTATGAGACCGTTCATACCTTTATATTGAACCCCAAGAGTATCACCATGGGGCAGCTGTACGGTGAATTTGATTTGCTGACTCATGAATGGTATGTTAGTTACTGTTGCTAGGGGAGATGAATGATGCAATGTGGTTATTAATTTTTGGGTCATTAAAAATTTCAATCACTCAATATTTTTATCTATCAGGAAAACTCGCATTCAGGAAGTAATAACCAGGTTGAAATTTCTATATTTATTTCTGATTTTCAGGACTGATGGTATTCTGTCGTCATTGATTCGCATGGGCTCAGCCAAGCAGGATGAAGATGCCCGTTGGTACATATTTGATGGCCCTGTGGATGCTGTTTGGATTGAGAACATGAACACAGTTCTGGATGATAACAAGAAACTGTGCTTGAGTAGTGGTGAAATTATAAAGTTAACAGAGGTACAGTTAGTCAGTTTTTCTGTCTATAACCTAAAGTACATTTTATTATAAAATATCTTCACTCTTATTAATATTATTAACTGATCTGTAGTGCATTTGGGGTATTAATGGTAATTGCTTTTGTTGTAAATGAGTTGTTGAAAGCAAAGTAGATTTGTTTATGTTAGTTTGTCAATTTGTTGAGTAATTTTCTTGCGCTAATTCTTTTTCCTCATCATAGTTTCAAAGGATGGTGTTTGAAGTAGCTGATTTAGCTGTTGCATCGCCTGCTACTGTCAGTCGATGTGGTATGGTTTACATTGAGCCTAGCATCCTAGGCCTCAGCCCCTTCACTGAATGCTGGCTGAAGAAGCTGCCCGATGCTATCTACCCATACAAGGACACATTAGCAGATCTGTTTACCAAGTTTCTTGAGGTTAGTCAAAGTTGCACCACTTCTTACAAACACATGATTGGTCATCCATTTGTGGACATAAATTTTTGTATTTATAAACATTGAAACCCATTGGCACTGCAGGCTTGTTCAATGGTTCTGGTGGTGGAACATTTATCAAATTAGGACAATAAACTGTAGTGTACCCTGTGTACACTCTATTATATGCACTTTAAGGAACCTAAAACATCCTTGTGTTTGGGTCTGACCACTGACTTGATGAAAGCGCCTATAGGCTGCACCTGACATGATGGGACCCTTTGAGAGTAGCAAGTTGCGGGGATGAGTTTATCCTTTGAGCGCATAGTAACACGTTATTCTATATACCTTTTGAAAACTTTTTACCTTTGTATAAATATAGATATCAACATTAGTAATAAAGTATTTAACCTTTTGGTCAACCATGTTTTCAGGATTCTATTGGTTTTATTCGTACAAATTGTAAAGAGATCGTTGGCAACATTGACAGCAACCTGACGTTGAGCTTGACTAGACTCATGGATTGTTTCTTTAAACCTTTTGTACCAAAAGAGGTAAGTCATTGTACAAATCTGAAGACTACTTTTTTGACCAATATCTTTAAAATACTTTGATGCATATGTATTTTTAATAAGGTTTTTTAGCACATTAATGATAGGGATGCTAATGAAGGTGGTGATGGTGATAGTGTGATGGTAATGTAGTGATGGTGATAGAAAGGATGATCGCAATAGATGATAGTAGTAGCAGTGGTGATGGCAATGATGAAGGTGATGGCGATAGTATAGTAGTGGTAGAGATAATGAGTAATGTTGATGATGGTGATGCCAGTAGTGGTGGTGATGGTGGTAATAAATAGTGGTAATGTTGATGAGGGTAGTGGTGATTGTAATATTAATGATGGTAAAAGGGGTGGTTAATTATTGTTATGCTAATTTTGGTGGTGATAGTAATGATGGTGATGAATGTTAGTGCCAATAATAATGGTAATGAGGATGATGGTGATTAATACATTCTCATGTTTCTTCTTCATAACCAAATATTATATTCGCATTCTTTGTGTTTCTTTATCCTGCATTGCATGTGTCTTACTTATTATTATTTGAAATAATTGCATGAACTTCGACACAGGACAGTGGCAGGGCAATGAGTGCAGTAAGTGAATCCAGTGCACATCTGTCTTGTGTTGCCGTGGCAATAACAACCTTTCAAAGCAATACTTAGATCTTCTAAGTGGCTTGAATTTTTATTTTATAACCATTGAATTAATTTTGTGTGCATTTTGATAATAATTAATTTGTTTAAAAGTGTGAATATAAAGAATTTTTTATTTGCTGATCAATTATTGTTATTGTCTGTTGTAATGATTGACGCCAGTATTATGTGCTGAATGACCGGTATAAAACCAGCATTTTCTGTTTTTACGAGATGGATACAGTTATTTACCTCTAGAGTGTACATTTGGGGTTGGGAGGTTTCCAAATTTTCTTAAGCAATTAACATTTGTTATAGTTTGCAGTGATTTTTGTTTATAAAGCTCGGCCACAGATAAGAATACTTTTTAATATCAGTAAGTGATAAAAAAATATGGCCCAATAAGATATGGTACATTTAGAAAATATGGCAACTGTTGCTATGTGGATTTCCTGTTGTTATAATACCTTAATTCCCCTTTGCTGCACAAAGTATACTGTGTTTAATGCTATTTGTTTTTGTATTTGTCTTTTCCTTGCAATGGTTGTGTATTTCTATAGGAACAAAGGGTAAGAAAAACAGTAATGCATATTGGCATGTTCACCCATTTTAAACATTACCTTTAGAATATTTTTTGCTTCTTGCGCCCCTCACGTCTTTTTGTTGTGTGTGTGTTCTACTACACTGCTGTGATATTTAATTGATAAATGAATTGATTTTAGGTCATATTTGTACCCACATAGAGAATTACATGTCATTGTTTATCACAGTGCATTTTTCAAATTTTTCCAGAAGTATAATTCCCATATAAATATTCCTTTCAATATGTATTTATCTTTCCATATTGAAAATGTTGATTTAAAACACATAATGTTATTTCCACCATTTTTGCCTCACAAAGGCATATGCTTTAAAGGTATAAAAGGTCTACTCTCGTGAATTTAAAGTCTACTTCTCCCAGGATGCATTGTGGCAATTGATGATATGTGTGAACAATATTAGATCTCCAGGTTCCTTTAGGTTATATCATGGAATAGCCTCATGGTTATATCTACTGTGTGTCCATTCATATAGGTTTATTATTTGGTAGTTTCTTACATACAAATCACCACCCTCTGTAGATGTATAGGTTGAAGATATTTTATCATCTTTTAGTACTTTCATTACAAAAATCATAGATTTCTTTGACAGTATTTCATATCATTATTTTGTCACATACTGAAATATAGATTCCCACAGCGTTTAGGCTTTTATGAGACCAAGAAAAACTCTGTGTTGCCCAATCTAGGAAATCTAGAATTGATATTTTTTACCAAGATGGAGCTCAAAATACTTGTAAGAGGTTCCAAAAGACCACATTTCAAGTTTTGATTGATATGTTCACCAGGATTTTAGTCCCATGGTTATTGTTTTGTTAACCAACATGTGTGTAGATTGTTGGTACTGAACCTAGAATTCAGAAAAAGCAAAAGAAGAAAAATGCTAAACAACCAACCATGATTATCAAATGTCATTGTGATTGAGCGACATATTTTGTTTTACCACATCATCAACCATGTGTATTTTTTTAAAGAACATTGTAGTTTAGTCTCAGAGTTTAGTGGAGGAGTATCACCACAAAAGTCCTCACCTTGGTATTAGAGCAGATGAGGAGCTTGATTGAATATATCATCTTTTTATTAAATATTTAAAAGAGGACCTTTTCACATTGCCCCTTATCACAAATTAGATTTGCTGTCATTTAAATGTACCAACGATTGTAATTGTTCTTTTTACTAACACACCCTTAAAAAATAATTGACAATGTTGTCTTAGTATTTTTTGTTTGCTATGATTGAGATAAGAGATATACAAGAATCGATTTTTAAAAATAATTTTTTGAAGGTTTGGCAAAATATATTGAAGATTAGGCAAAATACAAGAAGAAAAATGTCAAAATTTGAATGGAAATTGATTAAATTACTTGTTATTTATTTATTTCAATTCTTATTCTTTTCATAAATTATGTTTTTTCCTCTCTATACAATTTGAACAAAAACAATTGTTTATATTTCATTAAGAATGAAATTTTTTTTTTAGGGTGATAGGCCTCTGCCTGCCGAGAGTCTGATGCGTATTGAGGAACTGATTGAGCCTTGGTTCATCTTCTCATTGATATGGAGCATAGGTGGTACCATTGATGGAGATAGCAGGAGGAAATTTAGCGATTGGTTGAGAGAAAAGATGAAAAAAGAAAATGTATGTGTATTATTTCTTCAGCAGATAATAAATTTTAAAGAAACTGTGTGTGGAATAAATAAATAAATAGTAATAGAATTGTATTTATAGTTCAAAATGCTGTGGGTTTTATGCACGTACATATAAATTAATATAAATTGTAGTTTAGTAAACTAAAATTCTGAAGTAGCCCAGCTAACCATTACTGCAGGAAAGGAATAGCCAGCCAGCACCACCGTCTAGTTTTTCAGTAGTTTAAGGTGCCACATGGCCCTAGGCCTACTAGACCTACAGTAGGTCATATTTTACACAGCGTGCTTCAGTTTTATGGATATCTCAGAAGTGACAATCCCAACAAAATATATGCATCAATGATACTTACCATTTCATTCAATTCCTAAAGGTGAAAATACTGTTTCCACCTGATCACTTGGTTTACGATTACAAATTGGATGATGGTGGTGTAACTAAATTTTCCAAGGGAGATGACGAAGAAGATGAAGGTGATGCAGACAAGAAGAAAGAGGTAATGCATATCACAAAGTCATAGCACACTAAATATAGCTGAATAAATCTGAAAATTTGTTAAGTTATTATTTATTAAAAGTAAAGTTTGTAAAAACTAACTGTATTTAAAAAAATGTTTTATAGGAAATATAATATTTTGGGGGAAAAAAACCTAATTTGTTAATATAGTATATATTTTTTAATGACTTTCAAATGACTTAGATGCAGGGATGATTAAGTTTATCTTATATAAGCCCCTAGAACAGTCAGTTTACATCATTATTCCCTCTAAGCTTTGCAATGAAATGCATTTTATTGGGCCTTGTTAGGAGTGCTATTTTGCTGTCCAAGAATTTGACATTAATTGTGTTTTAATTTCAGATTCCTGAAGCGTATTCATTTCAGAAAATAGTTATAGAACTTGATGAGGTTAGAATCAGAGGCCTAGCAATAGACAGATAGCCTAGCAATAGACCAAAAATGAGGCAGAGCTTAGCAATTGCCAACAGGAATGATTGAGATCCTAGATAGACCAGATTGTACTGGAAGCAGAGCCTAGCTATATATCAGATAGAGCTGAAAGCAGAAAGAGCCAAGCTATATAATAGACCAGATAATGGGCCCTCCTTGGGCCAAGCACTAGCAATATCGAGATCACCAAATCACCATCAGGCAGTTTAGAAACAAGGGCACAGGCTTTATTTTAGGCTATTAATGATACTCAGACAATTCATATATTAAAAGCTAATCTATTATTTTAGGATGAGTATGAATAGATTTCTCTGAAGAACTCATTTTTCACTAAGTTTATAGAAGTATGGTCTCCATAAGAATTATTCAGAAAAAATCCCAATTACAGAAGAATACCTATTAAAGGTATTCGAGACCAAAAATGTGTCCCCTTAATATTAGAATGTCCCCTGAATATGGGTTGGCTGTTGTGTTACAAGATATGAAGTAGCATGTTTGACTGAAAATGTGTCCCCTTAATATGGGTGTCCCAAAGGAGGGGTTGTACTATATAGTTATATAATTTATTTCCATTTTCCTCTCCAAATAATAACAATAAAAACACAAATGCTATAGTTATATTTCGTTTAAACAATATTTAAATATTTACAAATGTTTTTATTTGCTTTTGGTTATTACTGATTAATTTTAATTTATTCATAATTTTCAGATTCGCTGGGTTGATTGGATGGACGGCGTTGCTCAATGTAAGATTTCGCCAGAAACGCCATATGCTGACATCATTGTCCCCACGCCAGACACTGTACGAGGATCATGGCTTATTGAGACTTTACTTGTCAACAAGAAACAGGTAAGTATTTGCACTGAAAATAATAAAATAATATAGCTCATTGGACAATGTGACTAAAGAATAAAACAAAGTATAAATGATTCATAGTACTTTTTATCACCTCCCAGGAGAGGTTTGAAAGTAGTGAATCTACTGTGACCTTTGTACTATTTAGTGTTATGACCTTTGCCTGTATTAATACACTATGACCTTTGCTCTATATTACTTCATTTTTTGCTTTGCTTTCTATTGATTTATCATGGCATTTGCATTATAGCTTATAGCTTTTGCCATTTATTATTTCATCATGACCTTTGCACTTCAGGTACTGTGTGTTGGTGATACAGGTACAGGTAAAACACTGACCATCGCTGATAAGCTGCTGAAGAGTATGCCCAAGGATTTCCTCAGCAACTTCATCTCATTCTCCGCAAGAACAAGTGCTAACCAAACGCAGGATCTCATTGACAGCAAGCTTGACAAAAGGTACTGTATGTCTGCTCCTTGTTTGTTGTATTCAAGAAGGCCCAGTAATGTGACACTTTGCCATGGTGTTATTGTACCATGGAGATTTATTTATACCTCCATGGTTATGCTGAGGTATTCATTACTTTCAATGAAATGATCAAGAAATAATTCCTTATGCACCACTGAAACATGAAAATAATATATATTCATATCCTTCTGCTATGAGCTTTTAAATTTTTGGAATAGAGTAGTATAATTTCTCCTAGTAATGTAAAAACAAGAATATGAGAATATAAGAATATTAATTATGTGGTCCCTTAATGAGCAGAATGTTAATGCATTGATTACTAGTTGCAATATTCTGTACTTGAAAGACCTGAGTACTGTATGTGTTCTGTAGGCATTTAATTGTTCCAATGACCAGTGTATTAGTAATTAGTGACATTATGATAAAAATAATGTACATTGAAGTGGCATTGATGAGTTTTGACATTTAAAGTATGCCTCTTGACTATTTTTTTTGTTTTTTACAGACGCAAGGGTGTGTTTGGACCACCTCTTGGCAAATACTTTGTCTTGTTTGTAGATGACTTAAACATGCCCGCCCTCGAAGTCTATGGCGCACAGCCTCCTATTGAGCTGCTCAGGCAGTGGATGGACCACAAAGGATGGTATGACAGAAAGCAAATAGGTGAGGCCCATGTAATGTTTGTGCGTTAGATGGTTCTACTGTAAATTCACATGATTTTTCTATGCATCTTGGAAGATGTAGGTCTACTTAATTTATTTAATTATCTAATCTAACAATCATGATGTAATGCCCTGTGAGAAGGCATGCTGCAAAGGATTTATATGCCTCTTGACATATAATATGCTTTATAATTAATACTTTCCTTTATTACAACTTCTTCAACATATTCAATTATTAACATATTTCAGGTGCATTCCGTGAACTTGTTGACATCACTTTCGTATGCGCTATGGGTCCCCCTGGTGGCGGTCGTAACCCAGTTACAACACGTCTCATGCGGCATTTCAACTATCTGTCATTCTGTGAAATGGAACATGCCAGTAAATCGCGTATTTTCTCTACCATCCTAAGATGTTGGCTTGGTAAGTTGAGGGCAATATTGAATCCCTAGCCTATAAAAATTATATGAAAAAACCAGATACTGTCACAATATTGATACCACTGTTTTTAGTGCATTTTGTATACTTTCCTTCCATCTTGATAGAAACTACAATTGTGAATTTGACAATTCATCAGCTAAAAATTTGGCTCGATATAATGTAAATATTAGTATTTCAAACTTATCAAATACATTTGCAACTGTAACAGTAAAAAAGTAATTTAATTTTTATTGATTTATTTTCTCTAATTAAAATTGTACAGGTGACAACCAGTCTATCAATGAGTTCTGTCATGAGCTTGTGAACTCATCAATTGAAGTCTACGAGACCGTCACAACACAGCTTCTACCCACCCCAGCCAAGAGCCATTACACATTCAATCTCAGAGATCTCTCCAAAGTGTTTCAAGGTAAAGTAATAGCGAGCTTTTGGTTTGCACAATGATGAGAATGTAGAACAGATTCAATCATTTGTGACTGTCGTGTGTCTGTTGCCAAATTGCATCCTAGAATAGGTCTTTTCTGAGTGTCAATCAAACTGAACAACTGACCAATAGGAACATCGCCAGGAATATGTGCGCGTCTTACTAACAAACGTGTTGTCCCACAAGTGCACATGTTTTGTGGACCTTAACAATAATATCCAAGGGGCGGGGCTTAGGTTAAAGGTTCATTCAGAAGACAATTGGAACTAAATATTTTCACATGCAGGTGTTTATGTGCTCAGCTCAAACATATTTTTAAGTATTTTTTTATATTATCATTATTAACCCAATTCTATTTCAGGCATGTTGATGGTTGATGCAAGCAAAATTGAAAACCTGTCTGGTCTTCTGCGTGTGTGGTTCCACGAGAACTGCCGCGTGTTCAAGGACCGTCTGGTGAACGATGAAGACCGTGAGTGGTTTGATAATTTGCTCACTAAACAAATGGTGGAGACGTTTAAAGCAGACCCAGCAGAGGTGGTCCACAGTGATCCGTTGATCTATGGTGATTTCATGATCCCAAACGTTGACAATAAGATCTATGCAGAGATTATGGATCACACTAAGGTATATATTTGTCCTCCGTATTGGAGTCAGTTCTTGTTACTCATCATAGAGCTTAAAAGATTATAAAAGTAAATTCTGTGTATAATTGTATTAAATCTATTTCTTTATATACATATCTGTGTAAACTGTTATATGGCTGGTCTCCCTTTAGCACAACCTACCCAAAAAGTAAATGAATCGTATGTCCAGCAGTTTAGCTTCCTCGTATATTTGAGACTAGATCCAATATTAGTAAGGAAAGACAGGGAGTGTATTCACCCTGGTAAGTACCTTAGTCATTGATTACCAACGTTACTTGTGATTTCTGTAAATTTCTACATTTTAGATGGTAACCATTTTAGAAGAGTACCTTGAAGATTACAACCAGGTGAACACAGCACGAATGCGCCTTGTACTCTTCATGGACGCCGTGAAGCATGTGTGCCGTATCAGCCGTGTCATAAGGCAACCACTGGGTAATGCTCTGTTGCTGGGAGTAGGGGGCAGTGGGCGACAGAGTTTGACGAGGCTAGCTGCTCACATGTAAGTCAAAACTTGGATGTTCTTTCTTCCAGCAATCCGTAAGCCCAGACTCACAATCTGAAGCCAGGAAACTTAGAGCTTTACTAATATGATACTTCCATACGCACTTCCACTAAGTACTGCATAATCTTGCTTTGGTAATGTAATAATACAAATACCAATAAAATTTAATTAATAGTGCATATACCCTAAATATAAAAAGTGCATTTTTATTGTTGTCTAGGGCTGAATATGACTGTTTCCAGATAGAGCTGTCTAAAAATTATGGCATGAATGAATGGAGGGACGACTTGAAGAAAGTGATGTTGAAAGCTGGTTTAGAAAACAACCCAATAGTATTTCTATTCAGTGACACCCAGGTATAATAATTTTTTTTAAATTAAATAATCATCATAAACATCATTTTTTTTGATAAGTGATCTCCAAAAGCACAAGAGAAGAAATCTTGATTTTTATTTTCCTTTTATGATAGATTAAGAGTGAGTCGTTCCTAGAAGACATCAACAACATACTGAATTCTGGAGATGTGCCTAACATCTATGGTTTTGATGAGTTGGATGAGATATACAATGCAATGAAACCTATTGTACAAGAGGCAGGCCTTCAGGCTACCAAAGCTAATTTGTTCTCAGCCTACACAAAGCGGGTCAAGAGCAATACACACACTGTGCTGTGCATGAGGTAAGGGGGCCTAGATGTATTCACAATTATTTTATTTATTTTGGAAATGGTAATAATTGTGGATTATACATAAATATAGAATCATCTGTGCAAAAGCTAACCATATCATAATACTAACACAATATATAATTAGTAATGATATTAACCTTGCAATATAGTTGATATATTACTTTATATGAGAATCATTATTTTCATATTATAAACTATAATTTTTGTGAAAAAAAATGTGCTATGTTATTCAATAAATTTGTTTTTTTATACTTCCCTAAATTAGCCCCATCGGTGAGATATTCCGTGCACGATTGAGGCAGTTCCCTTCGCTGGTAAACTGTTGTACAATTGATTGGTTCAGCGAGTGGCCTAGGGATGCTTTGAGATCTGTTGCACAGAACTTCTTGAAAGAAATTACAGAATTGGATGATAATGATGAGATTAATGAAGGATTGGTATGGTATTTTTTTATTTTAAGGATCTTTTTAACTATTATTCAAATTATTTAATTCCTAAATCTCCACCTCATAATAAAACTACACATAGACCATGAAAGCGACAAGTGAATTGTTTCTGGATAAGACTCGCATGAGAGACTGGTGCTACAAAAGAATTATTTTAAGAACAGTATAAAAAACAATACTTTCAAATAATTAATAAAAATTCATTTTACTTTTTATTTGCATCGATGTTTTTGGTGATATGCCACCTATTTAATTATTGTTTTGTACCATTTTAATGTGACTTCTTGATCATTGTTTTTGTACCATTTTAATGTGAATATTATATTATTTCAGCTTTTCGCTGTGGCTGTAATATCGTGAAACAATGTTTTAAATACAAAAATAAATTTAAAAATACACTTAATAAGTATTTGAATCATTATACTGTATTAAGTTACTCAAAATACTTTATATTAATTAGTATTGCATTATATTTTAGAGATATTTTATATCCTATGAAAATACAGTTTGATATATATAATTAGTTTTTATGTATTTTTTTTTTCTATAGGTTAATGTGTGTGTTGATATTCATCAGTCGGTTGCTGATAAGTCTATTCAGTACCTTGCGGAGTTGTCCAGGCATAATTATGTCACTCCCACCAGTTATCTTGAGTTGCTTGGCATCTTCTCAAAGCTTATCGGTCTCAAGACGAACGCCCTGAAAACAGCAAGAAACAGGACGAAAACTGGTCTAGATAAGTTGCTACACACAGCAGATGAAGTCACTAAGATGCAAGAGGAGCTAGAAACGATGAGGCCAATGTTGGAGGAGGCGGCTAAGGAGACAGAGGTGACAATGAAGAAGATCGCAGAGGATACTGTAATAGCTAATGAAACAAAAGCTGTGGTGCAGAAGGAGGAGGAACAGGCAACAGCTAAAGCTAAGGAGACCCAGGCTATAGCTGACTCAGCTCAGAGGGACTTGAATGAAGCACTCCCGGCACTGGATGCTGCACTCGCAAGCTTGAAATCCCTCAATAGAACCGATGTGGTTGAGGTATGTTCATAATGTGATAATTGTATACATGCATTATTTTTTTTATGGTTATTTTTATTTATGTACTTATTATTTATTTAAGTGTCTTGAAACAATCTATCAATAGTATATATAATATATATTGAATGCTTGATCTCTGTTATTTGTGGTGCATCTAGAACTAGTGCTGTTCAAATATGCATTTGCAAAGGAGTGAATTGGCTTTAATTGGATTTGAATTCCAAATGAAGCCTCAATAGCCCTGTTGGTATGTGCGGCAGCATAGACATCAGAGCCGTTAATGCATAGACAACAGAATGTCCCAGGTTTGAATCCCTTTATTTTCATATTCAGATTCCTTTTCTTTAACAAGAAGTACATTAGTGCCCTCTAACATTACCTTTGAATCTGTTTACCAGGTACGTGCTATGCAGCGCCCTCCAGCAGGTGTGAGGATGGTGATTGAAGCTGTGTGCATCATGAAGGGAATAAAACCAAAGAAAGTTCCTGGTGAAAAACCAGGAACGAAGGTGGACGATTACTGGGAACCCGGCAAAAACTTGCTTCAAGATCCAGGAAAGTTTTTGGATAGTCTATTTGCTTATGATAAGGTGAGGCTTGGTAATTGCTTGGATTGTCATGGTCTGAAAGGAATAATATTCATGTGCCACTTGATGAAGAGGGCACTATCAAATTTGATATCCTTATATTTACCATTGTTCTTCTCACACCACTTGTTTTTTTTCTTCATACTGTTGTTGGTGGTGTTAGTGGTGGTGGATATAATAGTAAATGATAATGAGATCTGGTAAGATTCGGTTAAAGTATGGCAGAAAGCAAAATTACATTAAGAAGATGAAGCTGGTTAATTGCTCATTTACATAATTAATATTATGTGGTGGATGACAAGAGTTGCTGGTACCGGGTTACCGGGTAGCACATACACGAAGGGACCCGTAGGGACGAAGAAAGTCATTGGTCGAGTTTCTAGTCCACATATCAAGTGCCCTGAGCATCTTATATATGTACGCTATATAAAACTACATTATTATTATTATTATTATTATTATTATTATTATTATTATTATTATTATTATTTAATTATCAATGCTTTCCCACCTTGATAAATGTTCAAGAGTTGAAATATTAAACAGTGACGAGACTTTACTTGTATTTTTATACATTTATGAATATTTATAATTATGATGTTTATTATGTGCTTTAATACAGCCACAAATTAGTATAGATTTGTGGTAAAATTTTAAAATATAATAACTAATGAGGCATGTGTCTACAACAGCAATATATTGCTATTTTACCAGCAATTATAAATATTATGAATACTTTTTTTTTTCTCATAGGATAATATACCAGACAGTGTGATTCATAAGATCCAACCATACATCGACAGTGAGGAGTTCACACCTGCTGCCATTGCCAAGGTGTCCAAAGCGTGTACATCCATCTGTCAGTGGGCTAGAGCTATGCATAAATACCATTTCGTAGCCAAGGCAGTTGCACCTAAGAGGGTAGGTGTAGTAGATTGAATTCTGTAATATATACTTCATTTTGAGCCTAGAGTTGTGGTGTTTAAAACATAACATTTTGAAAATACCAGTTTAAAATGTATGTGCACATTTATCGCTAAATGATTTTGAGTGTTATAAAGAAATTATTAAGACATAACATTATATTTTTTTCCATTTTTTTGCCAAATCATAAATATATTAATGTGACATTTTTTTTAACTTGTTAAGTTGGTAAACACTTAAGTTAGATATGGAAATGTAGGTCCATGCTTAGCATATCTTATTGTATGTTACAATATAATCATTTGCTAGTGCCATTCATCACAATCCATGCATGTTAACACAGCTCATAAAAATCAATTTATGCATGAAGGTAGAATCATTGTTATTAAATCATTTGCTCAATTTTCTTTGTATTGTTTCTATATTTCTCATTGAGTTTGTGTACATTTTTTGTCTTTAACTATTCTATTAATTTTCATAATAACTTATTTAATTGCCCATTCAATGGTTCATTACCTGTATTAAGGAGGACATGTTGGAGCACCAGGTATTAAAGCTGTAATGCTCAAAATGTCTATTTTTCTGAATTGTACTTGATTTATATTTTTCTATCAAATGTTATTTATTAATGTTGAAGCTGTGAAGTCAGCCATATCGGTAATGTGATCTTTATGAAAGCCAACAATTGTATTTTCACAGCTAAGTTCTCATCTTAATCTTAGTTTTGTGTAATCACCATCATCAGAATGCTACTTGTGGTGCTACATTGCTTGTGTTACCAATTCTTGCAATTTGCTATGATCTTTATAGCTATAATTTGATTGGATGAATATGGACTAACTTATCACATTATAACTCTTCCCCATTTACACCTTGCCCTTGTTTATATGTCCTCTGTGTCTCATTAAATAGGATGAATATTGATGAATAACTTCACACTTATCACATTATTACCCCTCCCCCCCCCATTTACACCTTTCCCTTTCTTAAATGTCCTTCTCTGTGTATAACATTTTAGCTTTCAATAACAGCATAAATGCTTTAATCTATTATTAAACATATACAAGTTGTGTATACTTATATGGTCTTCCCTTTGTTACATCTAATTTAAATATACTACATTTATTTGTGCAGTTGGAAAGCAGTTCTTATTCATGTGATTAGTAAGACTGAACATAATTTTATTTATTATATCATGATCAGTATTATTTCTCTGTTTTATATGTTAATAATTTGTATTTTATATACATCACTGTTATATTTTTGTGTTATTATATATTTTGTACTTTTTTATATACTGTCTTGAATCATTACTAATTATTAGTATTATCATTATTACCATTGCAGTTATCATCATCATCATCATGCATATTACTATACTGTAATTATTATTATTATTATTATTATTATTATTATTATTATTATTATTATTATTATGCCATAATTTCAGTTTTTGTGAGTTAATATTCTCAAGTATTGTAATATTGTACAAAATATACTTCAACATTTGACACAAGATACAATGCTGAAAAAGATATTGTTATGCTTATTAGTAAATGATCTTTAAAGTGCTCTACTTAATATAATGTTTTTGTACGTTAGATATATTCAATGTTTAATGTCTACTAAAACACTAATATGTTTTAAATATAATTTTATTGTTTATATATTTCTTTTACCCAATGTTTAAGCACTGGGATCAAAATTTAAACTGTACCTTATTGTATTGCGGACAATACATTTTCTTTGATTCTAATGTAAATATGAAGATTCTTAAGATATATAATGGTAGATGATCATCCTATATCCTTGATAATAATTTATCATGTTTATTTGTTACCTTCTACAGGAACAATTGCGTATAGCCCAGGCAGATCTTGCCGCCACGCAGCGTATCCTGGACGAAGCCCGTGCCCGGCTACGTGAAGTGGAGGATGGTATTGCCACCCTGCAGGCCAAATACAGGGATTGTGTCGCCAAGAAAGAGGAGCTGGAGATGAAGTGTGAACAGTGTGAGGCTCGATTGGGAAGAGCTGATAAGGTCAGTCAAGTGGAACAATAGCTTAATAGCTTGTTTATTAGGTTCACAGCCAAGAACAACCACCATGACAAAAGGAAGTAACTGACAATTTTTCAAAAATGAGTTTTTTAGTTAAAATCAAAGAACTAATAATTTGGAACATGTTGATATATTTGAATATGCTCAAATCTCACTAATTAACAAGTAATTAGCAACAAAAAAAGGAAGTAACAGACTAATGTCTAAAAGTACAGTAAAAACCACCAGAAAAGGAAGTAGGGGATAAACTGACCAATCATCATGCTCCATTTACGCATGAATGGTTGCATACACAAAAGACCTAATCGTATTAACAGTGATAAGAGAATAGGAGCTGGCTAATACAAATGTTTATTCCTTAATACTCAAAACGATGAAAATGTTAGTTGCTTCTTTTTGTCATGGTGGGGCAGATATAATACTATGATACATGGATAATAATGTTCAGACAACAGTAAAATTTTATACTTTCACATAATTATTTGCTAAAAATAAATTAGTTCTACATTAATTTAACATGATTTTAACCATATAAATGTATTAAAATGTTTTATAGTAGTCTATTTTGCATACTTTGATTCTTTATCTCACTATTTCTTTTGCAATAATATAGCTGATAGGCGGCTTGGCTGATGAAAAAGACCGTTGGCAAGAATCTGTATCAAAACTGAATGAGATAATTGACAGCATTGTGGGTGATGTCGTCGTTTCCGCTGGCTATGTTGCATATCTTGGTCCATTCACGGTAACTAAATTATTGTTATATGTACCATTTATCTTGTACACATTTTTATAAGGGAATTATATAATATACATTTACTCTTAATAGTTGTTTTAGAATGAGATATATGTAATAGGATAATAAGCATAATGGATAGAGTGTTTACAAAAATCATAAAGTTTACCACTTAGCTAATGGAGTTCACTGATTGGATAAAAGTTGGTGTAAACATGAATATTCATGTTCCAGGGTGAATATAGACTTTCAATGGCTGAAGAATGGATTAGAGCTTTAGATACCCATCATGTACCTCACACAAGTGACTGCAGCTTCCAGAATGCTTTTGGTGACCCGGTCAAAATACGTACTTGGCAAATAGCTGGCCTGCCACGAGACAACCTCTCGGTGGAGAACGGTGTGATCGTTCAGTTCTCCCAAAGATGGCCACTCTTCATTGACCCACAAGGACAGGCTAATAAATGGGTCAAGAGTCTAGTAAGTAGAATATTACGATATCTTTTTTTATCTTTTCTTTCTGCTTAAGCTAATTAATCTTTTCTTTTTTAGTCCATGAACTTAGCATATTATTCCATATCTGTTGACCTTATGTTAGTGTCTGCCACAGATATTCTTGTTCTACCAATATTTACAATTTTTAAATACATATGTTGATTATGGTTACAGAGGCAGTACCCTGTACCCTGTGATGCATAGTTGCTAAGGATAGGGCATTATTAGCACCTAACACACCCTCCCCCAAGATAAATAGTTATTACAACTAGAATAGGCACTATTTGTAATTTTTTTTTTTTTTTTTATGTTTTGTTTAAATTGAATTGAACTGATAGGTATAGGTATAAGAAACAAACAGCTGTGATTAAATTTCTAAATTATTGTACTTTGATAACAGGAAAAAGACAATGGTATTGATGTGATCAAACTAACTGATAGGGACTTCCTAAGAAGCCTTGAGAATGCTGTAAGGTTTGGTAAACCATGCCTACTAGAGAACATCGCAGAGGAACTTGATCCAGCTCTTGAACCCATCCTACTCAGACAAGTATGACAACTTGATCACAAATTTGATATTAAGAATATAATCTAGTCTTATGTAATGGTGGGAAGTGATATTTGGGATAGAAAGGACAACATCTTAACCACCAAGCTATTCAACTCCTCTGACAAAGTACTATAGAAGATTGTGGAAACAATGGGAAAAATGTCTTACTAGTCACTCACCATATACAAGATGTTGCCTGATCCTGCCTTCACTCCTAGAATTGATAATAGCAAACAAGCTTTATATCTTGTGTCTGTCACAATAACACACAATGCTTCCTTTGCCTCTGGTTTCATGTAGATGACATATTTATAAAAATTTCCTATGATTTCTTTCTTAGACATTCAAGCAGCAAGGAAGCACCGTGATCAAACTAGGTGATGCTGTCATACCTTACCACGATGACTTCAAGTTTTACATCACCACCAAGTTACCCAACCCACATTACACACCTGAGGTATCCACCAAGGTAACACTTGTCAACTTCACCTTGTCACCCAGGTAAGTTACCTTAAAATTTAATCATCACTTTTTTATGTAAAGTCTGTCAGTAAATGTTTGCTATCAATTACACTTGCAGACTATCACAATCTCAAATTAATAAATGATACTGCCCTCTATATGTTTTAGTTTAGTAAACTAAACTACAGTACTCTTTACATTTTTTTTATAATTTATAGGTCATTAGAGCAAATCATTCTAAATAAAAGACACCAATAGGAACTTTATTTTTACTTGTTTAGAAAATTGTCTTGTTTTAACTTTCACTCGTAAGCAGACAGTATCTTTTAAAATTAATTTTGACATGTTTTCCTTTCAACCTTTAGTGGTCTTGAAGATCAACTGTTGGGTCTGGTAGTAGCCGAGGAACGACCTGATCTTGAGGAGGCCAAGAACCAGTTGATTGTTAGCAATGCTAAGATGAAGCAAGAACTGAAAGAGATTGAGGACAAGATTCTTGAACGACTTAGCAACTCAGAGGGCAACCCTGTTGACGATATTGACCTCATTGCGACCCTGGAAGCATCAAAGGTCAAAGCACATGAAATCCAGGTCAGTCACAAAAATTAATCTAATAAAAATGAGAGGTCATTTTATGATATTCTGCTGTAGCAGTTTTCAAGCATGTATCCACCAATCAGAGATGGTGCTCCTTGTATTACAAACCGAGCAGAAAAGGAGCATGATGATGACAAAGAACAGTGACAGAATTTTCACCATTTTCTATCACCATTATACAATACTTTTTTTGTTTGGTAGGCTAAAGTGGTAGTCGCTGAGCAGACAGAACGTGAAATAGATGAGACACGTTCACAGTACATTCCTGTGTCTGTCCGTACCCAGCTGCTGTTTTTCTGCACAACAGATCTTGCGAACATTGATCCCATGTACCAGTATTCTCTGGAGTGGTTCATCAACATCTTCTTGTCTGGCATTGCAAACTCTGAAAGAGCAGGTATGTACTTCTATTGTGGTCATGTGCTGCTACTAGGTGCGGCCTTTTACATTATCTTTACAACCACCAACGCTACAAACAAGACTGCAGTATGACTTACTTATTATTGGAGCTTAGAACACCCCTAACTTCAATATTATCTGTATATTTTCTTTTTAACTTTTTTTCGTACTTCATTTACTTTAAATCCATTTACTTTAAATTCACATCAGGTTTTTATATGTCAGACAATGTTTGATCAATTTTTGATAGTGTAGGCTTTTTCCAACATTCAACAAATTAATTGTGTGTCTTTAAATATTTGTGGAAATACAGTAGGTTAGGCCTACTACTAATCTATCAACTTCTCAATGTTCACGTTCATCATTTCTGGTACTATTTTTTCTAAATAAATTATTATTTCTGGAAACCATTTTTTTTTTTCTCTTTGCAGAGAATGTTGCACAGCGTATTGTGAACATCAATGATTATTTTACATTCAGTTTGTATAGTAATGTATGCCGCAGTTTGTTTGAGAAACACAAGTTGCTGTTTGCTTTCCTTCTCTGTACACGAATTATGCAGAATGATGGCAAGATCAACATGGTTAGTTGCATTAGTATAGAAGTGACAGCACTTGGACCTTTATTATTATTTATATTATCATTTTAATATCATTTTTGTTAGTATTATTATTGATATTGTTATTTTTAATTAATACTATTAATTTTTTAATTGATACTATCAAAGTTTGTTGCATTAATAAAGCATTAATGTATTGTTTTTTTTAAAACATATTGAATGTTCGATATTTTTTATGGAGGAATTCCTGTAAAGTAAAAATGAAAGTGGTAAAGATTTACAACTATTGCTAAAATATATATCACATGTTCTTATCAATTTTTTCATAAATTAATAAATAAATTATCAGGATTTCATTAAAACATGTTGATGACATAAAAGTACATTTCAGTATTTCACAATAGGAATTAAAAGCAAAATTTAAAATATATTTAAATTAAAATAATGATTGAACAATGGTAAATTTTATGCATACAATTGTCTGCATGTTGTCATGCCCACTCGCTGCCTGGTGTTTAATGAGGCCTGAATTATCTGTCAGTCACTCCCAGATCCTGTTTATCTAATCTATTGTCTGCCTAATGTTATTCATCATACTAATATGCATAAGTTATAGTTTATTTATTTATAATGTATATCTTTAGATTCCTCCTCCTATGCGTTCTAATAAATTAATCTACAGCATACATTTTTTTACGTTATACATTTCGTACATTGCTTTATACTTTATTATTCTTTTAAAATAAATTTTGATATATCCTTTTTTTTAATTAATTTATTTCAATAATATCCACAATTTACAGAAAAAAAAACTGAATTGCTTAGAATTTACTAATTGAGTTTTAAAAAATTTCACAAGTCTCATAAAATGCCAAACCATTGTACCTTGTCAAATATTGCCCTTGCTTTGCAGGATGAATGGCGCTTCCTGCTGTCTGGTGGAACCACGATTCCAAAGGAGCTCCTGAACCCTGCTAAAGAATGGTTGTCAGAGAGAGCGTGGAAGGAAATTCTCTCAATAGCATCTCTGGTAAGATACAGATTACTATTAGTTAATTATGTGAGCTCCATCTTCTATAAATATTCATTACATCTCATTAATATTAATTGTAGCTATAAGAATATTACTAATTTTATCCTATAAATATTGATATAATCTTTATGAATAATCATTACTGAGTTTAGCTTGTAAACTTTCAGTTGCATCTTAATTCATTACTAATAAATTTTTATTATTAATTTTCTTTTGTATCAGTACTAAGGTGTTTTATTTATACCAATTTACATTATTTCCTAAAAGAAAACATTTGCGAGCTTTGCTGAAGACTTCTGCAACCACCTTGAGGGGTACAAGAGAATCTTTGACAGTGTCGACCCTCATCGTGAGGACCAGCCTGGCGATTGGAACACCAAACTTGACAGCTTCCAAAAGGTTCTTGTCCTGAGATGTATCCGGGCGGATAAAGTCACAAATGCTATGCAGGTATGTAGCATACTGTCATTTGACTTTATCTTCACTACCTTCGTGATATCATAGACAATTTATTTGTAGTTAAGCGGTCTAAAAAAAATACAAGATAAATTTTTCTATTGACGTGTAATACTAGTACTGGTGTAAGTATCTGTTTTGAAGAATACAGGCAGCCATTGGCTCAAAGAGCCAATTATCAATTCATTATTCATTATTTATTGTTAATTGTCATTAACAATTGTTTTTACTGGTATTAAAATTTCAACAGTTACATTGACGTGAAATTCTTGTCATGTGATAGCCATAGAATAGGATAGTCACATGACACTGTGTGAGGTATTTTGTCATTATCTCTTTCTGCATTGTGATCTAAAAAATTTCTTATTTTTCTATTTAAAATAAACCAGGATTTTGTTGCCACTCACCTGGGTCAGCAATTTATCGAGCCCCAGACTGCTGATCTGTCGATAGCGTTCAAAGAATCTTCTCCAGCCTCACCTCTTGTGTTTGTCCTCTCAGCTGGCACAGATCCAGCTGCCGATCTCTACAAGTTTGCAGAGGAAATGAGGTTCTCAAAGAAACTGACTTCCATATCTCTTGGACAGGGACAGGTAAAGGGAATACAAAATAGATATAAATCACAGTCATTGTTGAAATTTGTTTGCCTTTCCTTCTTGCAGCCATTAGCACTATTTAACCAGGGTGCCCAATAATTTAAGTAACTGGTCATTGAGGAAAATATGGGTTTGACTCTTCATATACCACACATACTCATGGACATCTTCGATGTACTTAATAATTTTCTTTTTTCATTTATATAGGGTCCACGTGCAGAGGCACTGATGCGGAGTGCCATGGACCGTGGCAAATGGGTGTTCTTCCAGAACTGTCACTTGTCACCAAGCTGGATGCCATCGCTTGAGAGATTGATTGAGAACATTGACACTGACAAGGTAATGTGTCAATCAAAGCCTATCTTCAGCCAGCACTTCCTGGGGTCATGACCCTTAAAATGATCATCATACATCTAAGGAGATTCCAGGTTTACAGGAAGTAGTAGGAAATTACAGGAAGTGGATTTAGTTAAACGTTAATTTTACCCTCATTCGACATGGATAGTGTATTAGAATGTTTTTGTTAATATTGTTGATGCTATTGTAATATGATTTCCTAAATCAGATAATGACACGCTAATAAAAAGATATTACTGTTATACTATTGTTGTTCTTGTTATTTTATTGTTTTTAATTTTCCTTAATTATTTTATCATTATAATATGTTGTAGTACTGGTAAAATATAATAATAGTAGAATCATTTTCAAAGTTACTTGGTGTCACCCAAGTAATAAAATTTAGTATTAGTATTAACTTTAACATTGTAAACAAATGCTTAAAATAGTAATTTACATTTTTATTTATTAATTCTAAAAAAGTCAATATTTTTTAAGGGAAATCACCCAAAACAAGACTAAGAGCCACTCTAGGAAATGGACTAGAAATCAAGTGCTCATGGGAGCAAAAGAAAACAATTCACATTCCTCTTAGCAAATCGTAATTAAATCTGAATAAATATCTTGTTTTCAGGTTCACAGAGATTTCCGGTTGTGGTTGACTAGTCTGCCTAGCCCTAAATTTCCGGTAGCCATACTACAAAACAGCTCCAAGATGACCATTGAGCCTCCAAGAGGCATTAAAGCTAACCTGCTCTCAGCCTACGCTAACCTCAACGATGATTTCCTGAACTCGTGTGGAGAGAAAGTAATCTAACCTGTTGTTTTGTTTCCAAAATTTATTTTATTTTTATTTCTATTTCTTCATTCTGAATTCAAAAATAATATTCATAGATAAAAACACAATAAAGTACCAAAAAGGTAAATTTATTTCCAGTGTTGTTCAAAATAGTAAATATACAATACAGAAATCAAAATCCAACTTGATAATATACCACACCTAATTATTTTGTTAACTTGTTATGGGTGTGCTTCTTTTATTTCTATGTTTTCCTGACAGGTTCTCTGCTTGATTGTACAATTTACCAATATGTACCTATAGAATGTTGATGATGATAGTGGCGGTAGTGTGAGGTGATAGTGATAGTAATGATGATGGTAGCGATAGTAACGATGACAATAAAAATCTAGAGAAGGAATTTTTCGGCTAACTTAAGGTGAAATTTATTCACTTCTCCAGTTAAATTTGCTTTATTTTCTTGTATTACTAGACCGGTACATTCAAATCGTTGCTATTGTCGTTATGTCTCTTCCATGGTGTCAACATTGAGAGGCGCAAGTTTGGCGCCCTTGGTTTCAACATCCCGTATGAGTTCACCACAGGTGACATGCGTATCTGCATCAGCCAACTAAAGATGTTCCTGCTGGAATATGACACTATTCCATTTAAGGTGTTGAAGTACACCGCTGGCCATATCAACTACGGAGGGCGTGTGACAGATGATCAGGATAGGCGATGCATTATGAATATCCTTCAGGATTACTACAACGAGAGCGTCCTCAACGAGGAACATATCTACTCCCCATCCGGAATATATAGACAAATACCAACTACCATGGATCACAATGTGAGTTATATACATGTTTAACATTTTGATTCCCATGTCCTTACACATAAATAAAACAATTAAAATTTAATTCAGTATTTTGCTTTTTTGTTCTATGTAAGTAAACAAAAATAATTAACCATTCACAATGTGTGTCATCTCATTATTTGATTGAAATGATATCCGATGGACCAAAATATAAGTGATTTCTACGTTTTACCATCAATCCAGTACTGTTGATCAAAATGGAATATATAGTAAACAGCACACTTAATTCTGAAGTTTATTTTTGACTTGTCATCATACAGTAGTAAGTACTGCTACAGTGACAAACACTTTTAGATTCAGCACTCAGGGGGATTTTCTCATTTCCTTCTCAGTTTGTCTAGCCTTAAATAATGGGGATTATATTCAGTCTGAGTTTTCTAGACTGAAATAAAAACAAACTTCTATAATAAGTGAAATATCCTTGCTATTATAGGCAGATTTAAGGGGGAACAGCTTTCTTGAGCCCCTAAATTTGTGAAAATTAATAAAAATAATGGGGAAAAATAATTACATTCCAGTTTAAATCTGAGAATGCTAAATGGTTAACTAGAGGTTCCATAGACATATACATTTTGTATCTCAGGCCCAACTGCCTCGCCATCTGTAAAATTCTCACCCTAGGCTTTCTATTTTTATTTCCTGGATCCACCATTGGCTAATTTCCTGGATCAACCACTGGCTATTTTCCTGGATCCACCACTGGCTATAGATGTATCGTGGATGTTTGTGCTTGCTAGATTCCCCAATTTTTTTTTGGTTTGATGATGTTTTTCTTTTTAGGAGCCAGAAGTTATTAGTTCATTTTAAGGGTTCCCCCTGTTTAGCATATTTACACCGTTGGTGATGCTTAATCTGGGGCACCACGTTATCTTACCCCCTTGAGGCTGAAAGAGCTTCTCCCACTACACCTGATAATGTTCCCAGCTTTTTCGTAACAAATCTGAATCGTTTAGGTTGCCATCAAATAACCTTCAGTACTAGTAGATGACTTTGTAAGGTAGCAAATGAGCCAGACATAATATTGGAAAATGAAAGTACAGTACATTTGACTATGAGTGTATCTTACAGTTATAGAAATTTTTTATTGCATCTCTTCCAGAGGTTTTTTGAAGAGGATGAAGCCCTTTTTTTTCTTTTTTTTTATACCAAAAGCTGTCCACAATACTATTATTGGATTAAAATAGAAACATTTACTACTGAAAATGAAAGTTTATGAAATATTAAACTTGATACTGTAATTTAAAATTGAACTGAGTAATGGGCTTTGTTTTTTATCAAATGAAGTTTATATCTACTATTTATCTCATGGAATTTAATATGAGTGTTATCTCTTGCTAAACAAAGGCACTGTGAATGACCATGGATTGACCAAGGCATGGCAATCAGTGAAATAAAAAAAAATGTTGTAATTCAATAGAGGGATTTGGCAATAGGCGTCACATGTCTTAACTTAGGTGTTGGATATAAACAATTGACTGGCACAACAGTGTTTTACATGGCGATTGCTATTGTGGCTGTCCCTTGTTATTTCTGTAAAGATCATCATAATTCTCAGTAAACTATACCAAATTGATTGGAAATTGAACTTGAGAGTTTTGTCTTCATGGTTTGCTAACGCAGTAAAGGATCTGGCTGCAAAAATTGAGATTTTTTGACAAATGTTAGGCTAGGCATGTTTAGGTATGCATATGGTCTTGGAAGTGCACTGCGTTGTTAGGGCTAACTAAGGTTTATGAAGGATCACTTAAATTTCAAAGTATACAATCCTAGGAGAACGCTAGGATAAGTAAATAAACACTATTTTGAACAATCATATTGCCTTTCCTAGCCATTTATTTCTCATGTTAACAGTGGGTGGTTCTAATAGACAGATTCGGTGATGTTTGTTCATGTGACACAACTTGGGTATACATGAAAAACATTACAGTGCGATAGTATAGGAAAAGATAATGTTATGGTTGCGAAAACAACATCTTTTCCTATACTATCGCACTGTAATGTTTTTCATGTATACCCAAGTTGTGTCACATGAACAAACATCACCGAATCTGTCTATTAGATGGTTTTTGAACATGATAATTTAAAATTGAGCTGAGTAAATGTGCTTTGTTTTGTTATTAAATGAAGTTTATTTATCTACTATTTATCTTGTAGACATGTATATGAATGTTATCTCTTGCTAGTTCATCAACAAATGCATAATGATTGACCAAGAACTGGCAGAAGTTAGTGAAAAAAAAAAATTATAACTTTAATTAGAGGCCGGGCTTATGAAATAACATGATAATTAAAAATTGAGCTGAGTAAATGGGCTTTGTTTTGTTATCAAAATGAAGTTTATTTATCTACTATTTATCTGGTAGACTTGAATATGAATGTTATCTGTTGCTAGTGCATTAACAAAGGCATGACGATTGAGCAAGGCATGGCAGCAGTCAGTAACCTTTGGAGAATGCTTATCCCTGGGAAATACCACGATGTTCAAATACTTCAGACAAAGTGTTTTTAGCTCTCTTGACTGGTGCAGTAGCTTGTTAAAATACTCACCTTCCACTCAAGGTGCTGGGTTCTTGTTGGATCAGCAGAGTTAGTTTTACTAAAAAGTAATCTACTTTAACTACGAGTCACGAAATTGTTGATGACACAGCTGCTAAAAGGGTCTGATTCATTGTGCATTTTTATTAGATGCTTTATGTTAATCGTTTTTTACTACCTTGTGAAAGATAGGTCCTGATTTAAAACTCAAGAAGGGAGGACTGAGTGTCATTTTGATCGTTTGTGTTACTGATAGAGAGCAGCTTAGCTCGGTCGGCTAATCTGGTGGTAGCCACTGTGTGTGCGCTGAACCGTGGAGATCTCTAGGTCGCTGGTTTAATTCCCAACGCTGCCTCTCCTTGTGTTTCAGCTGAAGGGCTGAAATACAAGTTACAATAGCACACCGTCTTTCGAATGAAAGCCGTTGGTCACGTGTGCATTTATGGGGATTGTCTCCCGGTGTACCTCCCAATCACCACCAGAAGGACCCCACTGGAAATAAGTCTTCTTCTAGACTTTCGTGGGCTATCCTTGGTGTTTACACCGAATAAATCCAATTCAATCCAATCCGATCCAATGATGAATTTTACCATGTATATTTCCTACTTTTTTTGTAAAATCACAAGAGATGTTGTAATGGAAAAATACCTCCAGTGGTAATAATTCAATTAATATATTACAATTTTTTTACGACAACAGTCATTACTGAAAATTGAACATTCACTACATCCTCAAAATTCCACTTCCTCCCCCTTGCTTCCCAACATGTCACAAACTAGATTGATGATTCACCATGTGACAGGATAAACATTTAATTAAATGAGGTTGAATAATGAATAATAGATAGATAAGCAAACTCTTCATGTTCTACTTGCATTATCATGAATGAATGACTTCGAAAGATTGCGATATAATTAAAAATGACATAGACCAAGATTAGTATCAATGTTAATGTTATCATACAGTTTCATAATATTGATCTGAAGACACTAATATAAAGCAGCAATCAGGAATATGGGAATTATGACATCTGTCTCCATGGCATGATTGGCAAGCATCTGTCGTCTACTGCCTTATTGCGCAAAAAATAATTTATCCAATGAAGTAAATTAAAGGGGTTTTTTTTCATTATCTTTAAAATGAAATAGACTAGCATCTTTTTCTGTTACCTCACTCTAGCTTGCTTTAAAATCTGCATAAAATCGTAAAATGTTTGATACTCTACAGCAAATAAAAGTGTAGGGTGTTAATATGCAAGACTAAAGAATAACAATACAAAAATATTATGTTAAATACATGGTCATTATTATTTATTATTGATGTTATTGCTATTAATTATCATTATTGTTTATTATTAATTAATGTTATTATTGTTTTAATTAAACCTCATAGTAAGTTATTTCACCTACTGATTTTGCATAATATTTCACATAAAATCTATATAAATTTCTTTAATATTTTACTAATAAATGTTAAATTTATATATTTCAGGGATATGTTTCATACATCAAGAGCTTGCCCATCAATGATACCCCTGAGATATTTGGACTTCATGATAATGCCAACATCACATTTGCACAAAATGAAACATTTAGTCTACTGAGTGGCCTGCTGAAACTACAACCAAAGACAGCATCAGGATCAGGACGGTCTAGAGAAGAGGTAAGTATTGCTTAAATGTTTTGTTACCATTATGTGTATATAGTATTATAAAAACAGTAACGATGATGATGACGATAACGATAACGATATAATGAGGATTGTAATGGCAGTGATGATGACGACAACAGCTGTGCTCTGCTGTGGTGGGACCAAGTTGAAGAGCTTATAGGGGGAAGGAGGTGGTTAGTTTATCAATGTCTGTAGTATGTTTATGCAACAAATGAAATGTGATGAGAAATATTTTACAATGCTATGGCATCCACCGATAAGTTTGCCATAGGATAGTGTAAGATAGTGACTCTTTTCTTGTAGGTGATAGAGGAGATGGCAAAACGGATCTTGGATGTTGTCCCCAAAGCAGTGGACATTGAAATGGTCATTAAGAAACATCCAGTGAGGTACGAGGAGTCCATGAACACTGTGTTGATACAAGAAGTCATCAGGTATGTTTATTATTATAATGATTAAATATTCAAAGGTTCACTTATTAACCTGCCAGGGGTCTGAATTTGGAAGAAGCCACTTATGGAGACCTGTTTTCTGGGAGATTCTTCTTGCTTGTGTGAGTGCGGGGGAACTCGGGAGACTCCCGCAACCTATACGATACAATACGATAAAAAAGAATTTTGATATTGTGATTGTTAATAAAATTACTGTTTTTGTTTTTATTATTGCGTAAATTATGTTTTGAATATTCACAAGAATATTTTACGTGAAAAAAAACTGATTGATGAACTGATTGCTTATGATAAAATTGAGCTTCTTAGTAACCCTAGAATGATTTTTGATATGATTTTTCTTTATAAAACTATAAAGTTTGATTTTGATTGTGAATTAGTTACTTTATTTAATTTCCATGTGCCTAGCCATATCCGAAATAGAGGGTGCTTTTAAATCTATCCTTTGGACGTGTAGAGGTCTACTTAAGCGTTTGTCTGATACCTATAAGTTCTGTATTACTGATATCAACATTCATTTTGACAGTTTAACCATTTTTAAGTAAAAAATGATTGGGATGTTTTAGGTTATATATGTATTTATTTTATTTATTATTTCATTTGTTTATTTAATTTTATATGTTTTTTTTTTGTTTCTTTCATCTATACACTATTTTATCGGGTGTATTTTGAAACAGCACCGCCAATGTCTCGCAACTCTGTGGAGGACTTCTAGTGGCATAGCCTAGCCTGAGCAGCTAGTTAGTAGCAAATAGAGCGTGCTGCACACACATGGTAACTATGTAGCACGAAATGCCTATGCCTCTGGAAGTCCCCCAGTGGTAGTTACTAGGTTATCGTAAATTCTATTTCAAATTTAGCAAAAATGGTGTTTATATTATACTTATCTGATGTCAACTTTTAATTGGAGGTTTTTAACTCTGTTAGTTGGAAATAAAATAAAAAATAAAATAAAAACTGGTATTTATTTACATATGGTTTAATTTGCAGATACAATCGTCTGTTAGTGGTAATCCAGAAGGCATTGCACGACGTCCTGAAAGCTTTGAAAGGCTTAGTTGTGATGTCGGAAGAACTAGAGACTATGTCTAACCAAATGTTCAATAATACAGTGCCAACAATGTGGGCCAACAAGGTTAGTAATGTCCAATCAACCAAAGTTTAGTTTCAGATTCTGAATTATCTCAAGTTTAGGGGTGAGCTAAAGGCCAGGGAATTCAGTTTTTTTACATGCTATAAACTACTTATGTCAGTTTATGTATTTAAATGTATATTCCAATATGTATTCTGAAACATTTTATTCAATATATGAATATCATGCCCAATAGAGCCCACAAAGTCACATGACAAACCAATGTCAAACACTGTAATAGAGTAAGCCTAAATCTGTGTAGTGATTTCAATGCATGTAAATTACTTTCTATTTTCAAATGTGAGTTTGAGCTGATATCTGTTGTTAGCCAAGGGCAGGCAGGTGAGGAGGTGATGCCGGGAGAGGGAATCCGATAATAAAAAATTTTTAAAATAAAATATTAAATGTATATAATTATTTATATGGACCTTTTGGGGGTGTCAATCAAACTTAACAACTAACCAATCAGAACAGTGACAGGAATATGTCCGTATGTTTTAACACTGTCGTCTTTTGGGACCATGGCAACAATATTCAAGGGGCGGGGCTTCATTTATTTACTTAATTTTTTTAATTTAATATATAGTTTTAAAGCCTATTTGTTTATATACATATATATTTATCTATTTATTTACTCATTTACACACATATAGATGTTCTATTTATAGATTCTATTTTGAGCCTTGTAGGTTAAAAATTACATGTGACGATCTTGCCGATCAATATCAAGGATATATAAATAAGATAGTAAAAAGAATATAATACAGAAAAACTGTTAAGAGGAATTAAAAATACTAAGTCTTTAATCATTTCTTTTAAATTTTGTCAACTAGGCATATCCTTCACTGAAGCCACTGTCGTCCTGGGTGTCTGACTTGGTAACCAGAATGGATTTTGTCCAGGATTGGATAAATAAGGGCATCCCAAGTGTGTTCTGGATCTCCGGGTTCTTCTTCCCACAAGCCTTCTTGACCGGCACTTTACAGAACTATGCAAGGAGAGCTGTCATCTCAATTGATACCATTACATTTGACTTTAAGGTAGTGTTTTATCCTCTTCAGTTGGTTTCAATAGATCAATCAAGAGTTCTTTTAGCTTCTTGTTCTCTCTTTATTTATACATGTTGCAGGGCCCAGCATAGTAAAATTGATTCTTTTTGGGAAATCTGCATTGCTGTTTTTCTGGCTCTTCGTCGATAAAGAATAACATAATTATCTTCTGTGCAATACCCCTACAAACATTTTATAGAATAATTAAATATAAATTTTAAGTCCATAATTTAATTATGATCAGTGATGCTACTTTTCTATAATAAATCATGAAATAAATAAAGAAATGAAATAATTGAGAATTTGTATAGTGCCTGTTAGAAAATATAATTGGTGTAGAATTATATATTAAAGAGATAAGTTTTAAGGAGGGTTTTAAATACATTAGTTTCATGTACTAAATAATTTATTTGTGTATTTGTGATTAAATCAATCTTGCATTGTTTTATGAATGTTTCTATATCAATGAATACTTTGTAAGTAATGGAATTATTGAGGTTGTCATTTATTTATTTTTCATAAACCAAATAAAATTAAGGAAATATAAAAAATTTATTGAATGTTAATTACAAGTATATTGTACAAAATGTTTCCAAAGGTTATGAGAGAAGCTTCATCAGAATTAACAGAAAGACCGGAAAATGGCTGCTATGTAAGAGGTTTATATTTAGAGGGCGCTCGCTGGGATCACCATAAACACGAGTTAACCGAATCCCGACCGAAAGAATTATACACAGATATGCCTGTCATCCAGCTGATTCCTGTAGCTAGCCGAGTACAGCCTACTAGTGGAATTTACGTGTGCCCAGTCTACAAGACTCTCACAAGAGCTGGTATGTGTACTCCTATCTTATCTTATATGTACAGTATTTATGTTTTAAAAGTATTTGGTCTGTGTTTGGACCTTTCTTCTTAGCCCCACACCTTGGATATTGTTGCTAGGTCCCATAAAACAAAAGCGCTATAACCAGGGGTCCCGAGTCTCCCGGAACTTGCAGGAGTCTCTCGGAAATCGGGACGGCCTCCCGCACTCCTGCAAGCAAGAATCTCCCGATTTTATCATGGAGGTCAATGCCAATGGATATCACTATGTGCAGAAAAAAAAATCAATATTTTTTCTGGTAAGAAAGCTCATTAACCAGATCAGTGGTGGATTCAAGGGTGCTGGGGGGGAGGGAGGACCCCTGTAAAACATACGCAAATATGTGCATTTGTTGGACAGCCTGTATGCTTGCTAGACCCTGCAATGATTGGTCAGTTGTTAAGTTTGATTGACACTCCAGAACAGTCCATTACGTGCAGGGCTTGGTATAATACCCACGCAGCTAATGAGGATGCACTTTAGTGTTTTATAGATTCTGTATCTAATGATCAGGGTAATAAATACATATGGTATTTTAAGTCTCGACAACATTTAAATGTATATAATATTGTCCTGGTTAAAAATCAAGAAGGTAATTTAGATTAATTTGGTCAATGAACCAGGAGACAATCCCATATTTTTTTTAGATAGTGTTCTTTTTTGTGCATGCACTGTTATTACATCAGCTAAAAGTCCCATCTGGGGAGGGTCTTAACAAAGGATACAATACTCTACTAATTTGCCCTCTAACATACACTTTAGTAAATGTGAATGTACATCCTGCTTGACAACCAATCAAAAAATAAATGAAGCTCAAGTTGTTTTCAATAGGCAGGCATAGACTAATAAAATGCAGGCTCACTTAAAATTATTACAAACATGTCATGTAGAATGGACAATTTAAATAGGTATTAATTAGCATAATAATTACCATCTAATTAGCAAAATACTTATAATAATAATTAGCATGATAACTAAGATCAGTGCAGTTTTGTTTTTTTTTACGTTTCGTGTGGTTAGTCCTCAGTGGATGAAAGAACAAGAGATAAAAACCACAAAGTATAAGAACTTCTATTTTCATTGTCCTGTAGTTTTCATTGTCCTGTAGTTTCGTTTTTTGTGTTATTCTGAATGCAGTGAGTTTGAACTTGAACATGATTGTCTTATTGGCCTTGGCTAGACAAAACTTTGTATAAATCAGGTGAACCGGAGTGGTTTAATACCTCATATAAGGAAGCTATTCCTTAGCCATAGATTATATGGAACAAAGAATTTTGAAATCTCAAGGAATGGACCATGTCTCAGGTAGAAATTAAATTATAATAACATTTACTACTGATAATTTTTGAGTTTTTTAAAACTACCAGTACCTTGTCTGTCATACAATAATCTAATAACCCTCAAAAATTCAAATATAATGTTGGATTTTGATTTGAAAGAATAGAATAAGTTATCAACTTTAAATGAGATCAAAAAGTTTTACATACATACTTGATTGTCTGCCAGACAACCTATAGGGAATGAATATAGGCATGGTATTTACTGTGGCTGGTAAAGCTCGGTTTCCGCAGAATCGCTCACCCGGTTGGCGATAGTTGTCGGGAAGGTTGAACCTGGTTCAACTTTGCCAATTGTGTTGCAGACGAATCAGGGTGCCTTCCCGACTGCGTCAGGGCAGCTAACAATGCACCCTGATTCATTGGCATTGCAAACAGGCAAAGTTGAAACAGGTTCAACCTTCCCCCCCAACTGTCGGCGATTGTAGCCAATAGGGTGAGCAACTGTATGGAAAACCAAACTTTCATTGTGAAGAAAAATATTTTCTGAATTTTATTATTGATTGAAAGCCAATAACATAGACAAAGTAAAGAATTCAAATTAAATTGTATAGTAGTAAATAAAAAATATTTGTAATGATAAATCTTTGAATCAGTGAAATTTGTTTGATCTGTTTCTCATTTAGGTTAATAACTTATTTTATCCTTTAATTTAATTAAATATTTAATTATTTCATTGATGTTTTAAAGGATATCTTCATATTTTATGACAGATGGTATCTTTAATGTTTTCTTTTTTTCCCATTACTATTTACTAATTTTCATTTGTAATTGTTCTCTTCAAGGTACTCTATCAACCACGGGTCACTCAACCAACTTTGTGTTCTTTGCTGAGGTGACATCATCAATGCCGCAGTACCATTGGATAAAGAGGGGTGTTGCCCTGATATGTGCATTGGATTATTAATATTGAATTCTAATTAAATTCCGTCCATTCCAATCAAATGCTAAATTGTTATATTTTCAAATGACCATCTAGTTAAAGATATAAAAATTGTACAAAAAAAATATATACAATGAATATTTTTATTAAATTTATTTTATATTTCATATTGTATTTATTGGGTCAAAATGTTTCTTAAGATTCTGGCAACAGCCATATTCCGTCCAGTTTTATTACTTTGTGGTGTGTTCCATTAACAATAGACATGAATTTATGTTTTATTTATAATTTGATGTAATTATGAATCAGGTTATGAGTACATATTCATAACTCACATGAAGATTGGTGAAGATGCTTATCACAATATGTGTAACACTTACTTCATATAAATTTTACTCAATATTGTAATTATATAAATTTAAACATTAACATTATATATCATACATGGTATAATTTTATTTTGGTTTTTAAAAATTTTATCCTCTCCATTATTATTGTAATTTATTAAATATTATTATTATTATTATTGTTATTATTATTATTATTGGTTTTTTTTTATTATTATTATTTTTATTATGTTACTAAAACCTACCTTAAGGGGAACTTAGACAACAGAGAAGTTAGACAACAATTAAAAAACCAACGTTAAAGGGAAAATAACACAAAAAATATTCCCCTTCAGTCCAACTTAGCGCATATTATTATTATTATTATATGTTGTATCCATTATACGTTAATTTGTAGTGCACTGTGTGTGCCCAACTAAAATTTCCAATTTCAGTACTCTCCCGATAAAAAAAAAATCCACACCTTTCGTGTCATTCCATTTTGTAATTGGTGAGTGTATTTGTGGTTGTATGGGAGGAGACAAAAATCTAAAGTGTATTTTGTGTGTGTTACACAAATAGTGTATAATTCACTGTATAAATGAGTCTGTCTCTAACTATCGTAACAGATTGTCATTTTATTCTTGTAATAAACTATATAAATTCAGCCGAAATATACCTTACAAGCTTGTACGTAAATCACCTGCTGTTCCACTAACTTAAAAGATTTGTGAATAAAATTAATGATTAACAATTGGAGTGGAGTAGTAGACATAACGACATCTGTGGCATTGAATAGTACGCTACAACCTGCTGCACTGTACTTAAAAATTTGAATGGATGATGAAATAATAATATTGCCGGTAGCATATTATTAAGGTGATATGAAATTTCTAATTATTAACCATGTACATA